TGGCGGTGGTTGCGCAATGCTGTGTAATATACTAAAATGATTAAATATACTAAAATATGATTAGATTGTACACTTAAAACACATGAATTGTAGGGCATGTGAATTCTATCTCAATAAAGCTGTTATCAAAAACAATATCTCGTTAAACCAGTGAAGTTTGGTTCAGAGTTCTGAGGCAACAAATAGTCTCAAGCATATGCCAACTAGGAAATGCAACACTCATGAATCTTTCTGGGAGAAAAAATTGAAAATATCAATTCCCTGACAATGTAATCCAAGAAGAAATAAATCAAAATAAAAATCATTCAAGAATAGAGAAGCTTTGAAGATAGGACTATTGGTTAGCATTAAAAAATAAACAACTACACAAACAATAGCAAAACTAGCAAAAATTGGGAAGTGGGAGAAAAAAAAGATGAGAGGAAAAATGGGTGCTAACTTTCCCAGTTTTCAGAATAGAGCAATGCTGTCTAAAGTTTAAAAATTAGTTTGATATAAAGCCTAAGTGACTCTATAACCTTTGAGAAAATTTATAATTGTTTTAAAGTTTAGCAGGATCATTCAAGTTGAATATATACTTACCAGATATATAAATAACATAAAGCAATTCCTTTGGCTTCATTTCAAAATCTTCTGTCTCCCTCAATTTCAATTAATAACGTTTTGTAAATTTATTTCTAAATCTTTTTCTAGTCTTCTGTTTAGGGCAGTGATTCTCAGCCTAGAGCAATGTTGTACCCCAGGGGACATCTGGCAACTTCAGAAGGTATATTTGGTTGTCACAACTGGGGAAATGGTGCTACCAGCATCTCATGGTAGAGACCAGGAATACTGCTAAATGCCCTACAATGCACAGGCCAGCCCCCAACCATAACAAGGAATTATCCAGTCCAAACGTCAAGAGTGCTGAGGATGGAAAACCCTGGACTAGAGATATAGAGCAATGTCTGAAATAACACTCACTGGTATTAATCAGTATTTCTGAGTTGTGTGACTCTTGGTGATTATTAAGCTCTTTCCTTTGACATTTCTGAATACCTTAAAATTTTGTAATGACTCTGTATCAATTAAATTGTTAATGTTTAATATTTTATACAACAAATAAACATATATATAAATATGTTTATAAAATTGTAGGTATTATTGTAGTCCTGAGAATTATTAGGATTCCTAGTCTCAAAAAAATGGAAATCTTTTGAAAGTGTTAGAATTTTTGTTCCCTCACATTTGTGAAATTTCTTATATATCAGGTATTAGTAACACAAGTCTTTTCTTAAAAACAGACAAAGAAACAAAGCAAAACAGGCCACAAAATATTTTTTTCTCCAAGAAGTAGAAAGTGTTTCAGTTTTATAAAGGCACTCTATTACTTAAAAAGTAAAAAGCAAAAAGTATTAAGTAAAATCGTGGGCTTATTTAAAAGCTCTTTCACTGCCACAAGCCCAAGTGTATTGATGAGAAATGACTCAGCTGGATCTAGGTGCTCTTTGTACTAGGTGATTTTTTAAATCAGAGTAAGTCTTTCAATGTACTCTAAACTCCTGTCATTAAAAGTATATATTTGCATATTATTTCACTGCTTTTACAATCAAAAACTTATCCTTGTCTCTCACGAATAATTGACAAGGTATAGGCTTCTTGAGCTATGTATGATAGATGATTCTTCTTCTCTCATAAACTGCTATTTATTGATTATCTTTCATGTAACCAGTAATGTACTAGGTACCAGGAACACAATAACAAAAGAACAATGGACCTGCTCTTGAGAGGCTCAAAAAATAATGAAAAGCCAGTAGGAGAAATATATCTTTGTAATACGTTCAATATTCTTTGAAAGTGTAGGACTAAGTGTTCTAGAGATCAGTGGAAAGCTTCATGGAGGAAGTGTTTGAATCTGAGTGTGAACATTTTCAGTAAAAGGATTGGGGAGATTTTGCAGATGAAAGAAAGTAAGTGAAGAGGAAATGAGACCAGACACCATCGGTGATGCACGAGTTTTCTTTGTGCTGTGGGACCTGCAGAAGTAGGGGACAATCCCTGCAGATGCCTTCCAGGGGGATGTTCAAAAACATTTAACCCTGTGTGTCAATACTGGACTTCTACTCTTTCTCCTTAGCATTTGGGGAGAGTTCTGAAGATACTGCAACCACAGTTGGCATACCCTCCAGGTAATTTTTATGCACAGTGAAGGTGAGGAGTTGTTGGGTACCTCAAAAAATGAAGCGGTTCCCACGGCTCCTGGGAGAGTGATTAGAAAGGAAAGCACACGAGAGAGCCCTCCTACTTTTAACCTATATATTTAGAGATTATATTATATATAATTTATTTCCATATTCATAAATAAATTCATTAAGGACAATAATATTTACTAAGTTTTATGTCTGCAGCACAGCTTTAAGGCAGCTTTATCATTCATAACTGTTGTACTTTAGGTAAAACAACTAATGATGTTATCTGTGACTTCTGACCTCAAACAATAATAGCAGCAGGAACAGGGAATTTCAGAACCACCTACATTTTTGAAAAATGAAAAGGACTTAGACAAAGACAACATCAATTAATTAGGTGCAAGCTCATGGCCGGGGCCAGTAAGTCTCATACTCATTTTTGTTTTATTTTCCTGCCTTCTCAAGGCTTCTGTCTTCTTTCCTAGAAAAACATGGCTGAATAGAAAATTTCCAACATCTCTAGCATGTGTGATAAAAGCAAAACTTTTTATTTATTCTCACCTTCCCATTTTTCTGTTCAAATCTGAAACTTCCTGGTCTCAATGAAGGGTATTAGCACTCTCATTGCCTCAGTGAAAGATACTGTCAGCTTTGTTAAAATCAGCATGTTGGAGATCACCTTCACACCCTTTCAACCTCAACTCCCACCTGAATCGTCCTGAATGTACCTCTGTAGTCAAGCCCCTTCCTTAGCTTCATGCCAACCATTGCCTTCCTCATAGTTCAAGCCTTCCTCATTTTCCTTTGTCTTACATTAAAAGTCACTTCGCTGGCCTTAGGTTTATAACCAGTCTTTATGTTTTCATTTGGATCATAAAGATTAAGCTATTTTTCAGCCTTAAATTATTCAATGTTCCAGCTTTAATGCCTTCCAGATAATGTCCACATACCTGCCTTCTGCATATAAGGGCCCCAGTGCACGACCCCATATCTAGGAGCCCCATATCTACAGTCTATCTCATTAGAAAAAAAAAATGTGCCTAGGAGATTTCACCTTCAGGGGTGCAGATATCCCACAGAGAGACAAAAGGGCATCAGTTTTCTGCAGTCATTGCTCTTCTTACTGAGAAAATAAAGAGCCCTTCATGCAAAAGAAGTCCTAGGATCTCACGTGAGAAAGAGCCTCAACCCTAAAATAGATGTAGGAGACCAAAGAAGCCCAGGGAAGCTCTCAATTACTGTTTTTCAGTAAGTCAGAGCTTAATTACCAGGTCTCTTAAATACTTGAACTATTTGTAAATTCGTATTCCTTCTATGGTTACTCTCCCTCTGTATCCCCTTGGTCACAAACGTTTAATGTTCTAGTTTCTTCACCTCAGCACTACTTACATTGGGGCCAGATAATTCTTTGCTGCAGAGTGCTGCCCTATGCACCGGAGGATAATTATCAGCATTCCTGACATCTCCCGCTAGATTCAGGTAGCATTCAAGCCCCCACAATTGCGACAACCAAAAATGTCTCCAGATAGAAAATGTACGCTGAGCGGGTGCAAATCACCTTGGATGGGGAATCACTGCTCTGAGTGAAAAGGTGCTGTGCGCTTGAGTTCATGGCAGGAAGTTTTGTGAAAGAAAGCCTAAGGGAGAGAATTGGTAGTGACCTCAGTCAAAGCAGACCAATTCCCCAGGGACTGTGGCAAATGAAATAAAGGGGATGAAGGACCCTTGAAGGGTTAAGATTAGAGCCAGCAGTGAAAAGTGCATGTGATGTATATAATAGAACAATTTCTCTACAGTCACACAAACTTACTGTGCTCCCCTGGGTGCATCCTGAGTTTACAACCTTATCTCTTTGCTCATAATTTTTCTGTGTAAGTATCCTATGTCATCTTCATGTGATTGTGTAAGGCCTACTGGCAGAACAGGAAGTAGAGATGATAAAGATTAGGGATGGTAGGTATAATGGCAGACAGGTTTTTTACAATGTATATATAAAATTTTATAGCCCAGTATCATCTTTGCTTTTTAACTAAGCAACTTTTGCTATGTATCTCCATAAATCCACTGAATCGTCAGATCATCTCTTGCTCTGTTGAGCCCCTAGAATAAAATTTTATTTTAGTGTATACTTTGAAAGTAAATAAATATTTCTTCTATTTCCATTTTAAGATCTGGAAAATAACTAAAAGCTTAAATAATTAATGCATCAGTCTCTAAGCTAACTGATTTCAGAGAGCTTATGGATGGATACATATGCTCATTTCATTCCCTACTAAAAAAGTGTCTTTTCTGTGAAACTGTATTTGAATTTTAAAATTCTAGTTTAGAGTGTTAGTACATTGAAGATACACAATAGCATGTCCCATTGAATTAGAGTAAACATACACACAAACTGAAAAGAAATGAGATTAAAAGTTAAAATGTGCTTGACTACACTGCCATTTGATTCTATTGATGTTCTATAATAATTTCATGCCAGGCCTAACAATAGGAAACAAACACACATTGGTAACAATGTGGAGTAGCACTGGGCTTTCCTATATGGATAACGGCATGCAGAAACTTAGGAATGCTGGAATGTATTTGTAGACCAATCACCAAGATGCTTAGCAATTTCTTTCTCTTGCATCTTAAGAAGGTTTGCCATCACAGTATTTATTGCAGGGCTTCAAACTTTATAGGGGTATTATTTTTGTTGACTGATTAAAAGAATATTTCAGACGTTGCTTATGATTTTTCACAGTACAGGTCTGATTATTACATGATAGAAACATGATTCTTAAGTGACATCACTTTCCTCAGATACGTTCACCATGCGTTGCTACCACTTACTGTCTCCCTGGCAGAGTAGAGGTCCCAGTTTATAAGCTGCTTCTGAATGCGGCCGGCCTGTGTCCGTAATCACTATCTTGGTGACGGGCAGATGTTCTTTATAAGAAAGGAATCCAGTGTCATTGGTCCTAAAAAAATAATGACAACAAAACTCTTAGAATTACTCTGATTAGCATAGTTATCCAATGAACAATAGGCTTTATTGCATTTCAAAGCCAGGATGTTCTGAGCTAAATTTGCACCCACAAAAGAGGAAAGATCAAGGTTCTCATCTGAGCATACAAAAATATGGCAACATTTTAATTTCTCTTGCAGGTGGAATATAGTTGGTGGTTTTTAAATTCAGTGGGCCGTTTTCTATCTTAAAGTGGAATGTTTAATTCATTAACATTTAGTGTAATGATTGAGATTGTATTTTTAGATCTACCATTTTGATATTTGTTTCTTGTTTCTTTCCCATATGACTTCTTGTATTTCTGCCCCTCTCCCCACCGCCTTCCTGCCTTCTCTTGGCTTATATCATATTTTTGTATTTAATTTTATTTTCTTTATTCACCTTTTTAAGCTATATGTCTGGCTATTATATTTTAATATTTCCTTTATTGATTATAGAATGATCCTTAATTTATTACAGTCTACTTAGATTTTATGTTGTATTATTTAATATAAAATGTTGGAAGCTTACTACAGGATAATTTCTTTAACACTCCCCCACCCCACCAACACACACACACACATATATCTATTCTTTGTACTACTGTTGTCATATATTTCAATCCAGATGTCAAAAGCTTTAAAATTCAACAGTGAATTTTAATTAATTTTTTTAATTAAGAGAACAATTTATATTTACTGACATCTTCACAGTTCCCAGTTTTTTTATTTCTTCCTGAAGATCTGAGTTTTCATCTGGTATTATTTCTCTTAGCCTGAAGAATATCTGTTGGTATTTCTTATGGTGCAAGCTCTGTTGGCAATGAATTCTCTCAGCATTCCTTCAATTTGAAAAAAAAACAAAAACCCTTCATTTCACCTTCACTTTGAAATATATTTTGTTTGATACGGAATTCTAGGTTGACATTGCTTTTTCTTTCAACACATTAAAGGTGTCATTCCCCGGACTTCTGACCTGGGCTTCTGATGAAAGGTCAGCCTTGACTTATATCGTTGTCCCCCACACAGAGTGTTCTGCTAGGTCCACGCAATCTGGCTACTTCCAAACGTTTATCATTAGTTTTTAGCAATCTGAACAATAAGCCAAGGTGTACTTTTCTCTGGTTTTATTCTGCTTGAGCTCCTCTGAGTTGCTGGAACTTGTACGTTGACGTTGTATTAGTTATCCCTCATGACATAACACATGACCCCAAAACTTAGTGACTTAAAACAGCAACATTTGTGAACCAGATCGTAGTCAGGACTCTGGGCGCAGCTTAATGTCGTCTTCTGGCTCAGGATCTCTCCCGAGGCCACAATCAAAGTTTTGGTGAGGACTGCAGTCACCTCAGCGCTTTGACTGGGGAGGGACCCGCTGCCAAGCTCACTCGTGTGGTTGTTGGCAGTAGTCTACTCTGTCATGTGTTGGGCTGCGGGCCTCAGTTATTCACTGGCTGTTGACTGAAGGCCTCTCTCAATTCCTTGCCACATGGGCCTCCCCCCAGGGCAGCTCACAACAGAATAAAAAAGCCAGAAATGTCAAAAAGGGAGGTGCAAACAAGTCAGAAATTACAGCCTTTTGTAACCTAATCTCAGAAGTGATGGCTCATCACTTATACCATATTCCATTCATCAGAAGCAAGTCATCAAGTCCAGGCGACCCTTAAGGGGAGGAAATTACATAATGGTGAGAGTAATAGGTCACGTGGAACATTGGGGGGCCATCTTGGAAGCTTGCTACCACAGATTATTAAACAAATCGAAAATTTTTTAGTCATTGTTTCATCAAATATATTTTTACCTCATTTTATTGCCTATCCTTCAGAGACTCCAAATTATTGCCTGTTAAATTGATGATATTTTCCACAAAGTCACAAAGGTGCTGTTAATTTTTTTCAATCTTTTTGTTGTTGTTGTTCGTGTGTTCTTCAGATTCAATAAATTCTATTGATCTGTCTTCAGGTTCATTGAAGATTTCTTCTGCTTTCTCCTGTAGGAGTTGAAGTCCATCCAGTGACTTTTTCACTTCAGATGTACGTTCATATTCTAAAATTTATATTTGCTTCTTGAATATAATTCTCATTTATCTGCTTAGCTTACCCTCTGTTCACCTGTGATTATTTTTATCTAAGTCTTTGGGCATGTTTATAATAGTTGTTTTAACGTTTTTGCCTGCTAATCAAACATCAGTGCCCCTGGGTCTGTTTCTAATAATTGTTTTTATTTTCTTGACTTTAGATGAAAGCTTACTCTTTTTTTCTTAATATGCAATAATTGTTGCCATGGTCTGGACATTAAGGGGGATACTGTAGAGATTCTGGATTCTGTTATTGTTCTTTGAAGACTTTGTTTTTGATTTGTTCCCANCCGCCCCGCCGCGCCACCTGGCACACATACACAGGCAGTTAAAGTACCTCTTTATCACAATAAATTGTGGACACTTGGTTTTACACTTCATTAGGGTGGGCCTATGTCTGCTTTGCTCTTATTTTTCAATCATACTCAGTTCTGAGATGTAATCTTTGTTGCAAAGACATGGACCTTTTCTGTTATTTCTGTGGAAGGCTGAGGAGTGTAAAAAGCCCATCTCAACTAGTAAGACTTAAACGCCAAATTCTGTGTCTCCTCTGGTAGTCGCTACTGAAATCTCTACGTAGCTTGTTCCATTTTCCAGCTGTATCTCTCTGCTTGGTTCCTAGATATCCCCCCTGTGCACGAGTAGGGTCAGCCGAGGACCTGAGGGGGGTTGGTATGGTGGACTCTCCTCTGGAGTTTGTCTCCTTTCTGGAATTTCCACTCCCCACTCAATTTCCAGCCATGCCAGCAGCCCCAAACTCTATCCTCTGATACCTCAAGCCTCCCGCACCCCCAAAGCTAGTATTCGCTTTGAATTCTAGCCACCCCATAGCATGTGGTCTAGTTAGTTCCCTCAAGGAAAAGGCGTATAAACATACATCTCACCCATTTGAGCTCCCTTCTTTCAAGGGTCAAAGGCTCCCAACTCTGGCAGTTTCTACCTGCATTTTGTTGTTCTCCACTTACTTCAAGAAGTTGTTTTCATAAATAGTTTTTCTGGGATTATATATGTTCTCTGGGGAAAGTTATTTCTATGCAAGCTACATCACCATCAGCAGAATTTAATGAGAAGTTTCAGAATATTATTTTTGAAAATTATTTTTGCTTTTTTTTTAATTTTTTTTTTAAGCTGAACCATCCTGCCACCGTTTGGCAGCTCAGCAGCTGCTCAGCTCAGGCGGGACTCAAACCACTGTTGCTCAGAGCTCGCACTCTTGAGTGAACTCTTAACCAACTGAGCCACTCGGCCGGCCCTTGAAAATTATCTATGATGAATTATATATCATGGGGGTATTGGAGAGTTATTGGCGATAAGGTTAATTTTTTTTTCTTCTGTTAAGCATTGCTATGAACATTTTATTCTCATTTTAAAATACAATATTACTGTGTAGGTGTTTTTGTGAAGTCAGTGAGAAAAGAGTGCCCTCCAAGGGGAGTAGACATTTTTAAAAACTAGAGTTTGAGTAAGAGAAAAAATATTCTTCATACCAAACATATAACACTAAAAATACAATCATGACTTCATATAGATGCCTCCTTCTAGGATATTCTAAAAGAATCTGTTGTTTTTTTATATAACATAGTCTTGATGTTGGCCAAATAAATAAATGAAATATACAATTCAAAATATGAGCTCAATTAACAACAAACTGATTACTAAAATGAACGTACATTCTGTAACCAAATCAATCATATAATAGCCAGGTTGACTATTAATACTTTTTAAAATAAGCCTATGTGCAGATCCAGGTACACAGTAATGTAACATATACATATGGTATACTGAAATGTGAATATGAAAATTAAAAAATATTTTCACTTCACAAATAAAAATCAATGTACATTCCAACTCTAGTAAAAGTACAATAAATACCTTTAAAAATATTTCAATAGACAAAACATATTTAAGACTTTTCTTCTATTTAGAAAATATTTTATGTTGAATTTTCAAATCCCTAAAATATTATAGATTTCCTCTTTCAAATTATGACAAACAGGACATTAGTTCTTTGTGGCATAGTTTGTCCTTTAAACAAATAAAAGAGCCATATGATAATACAATTGTAGGAAAGTCTAAGTTTACATGTTTAAAGGTTTTATAGGCAGCTTACGGAGGAAATGTGCTTTAGTAATTTCTAAATATAAACATATTTTGAGAATAGAATGCATAATTATACTTAATTTTAAAGAGAATGATAATTGACCTACAATGAAGAGGAAATGTGAAACAGATGCCTCTTTCATCATATTACAAAAATAAAATGTACATGGCTAAACAGTCCACTACAAAAAAATTAAAATAAAAAGACATTGATCTTAACATTTAGGATTCAGATTGATTGTAACACATTTCATCAAAACCTACCTTCATCCAATTTCTTCACTGTACTAACTTGTTGAGTATCTGCCTAGCTCTGCATAGTTTGAGCGACTCATTAAAAAAAAAACACAACTTTATTTCACATAAGGAAGTCATATGAAAATCACCATTCATTCCGGTCAGCATCGCAGTTGCAGTAATATTGAGAATCAATGCAGTTCCCCTCTCGTCCACAAGCACATTTTTGAGGATCAGGCAAAGAACCGCCCCAATATGTTTGTGTTTCATTGGTTCTTCCAACCCACCAGCTCAGAGGGCTTCCGTCTGAAAGACAAACGAGAGAAATGTGACATCTGCTTTATACCCCACTGCCTTCCATCCCAGTATAATTCCTTTCCTTCCCACATCATGAAAAAGAATAAAAGAAGAGAAAGATTCATTTGATGTAGTGATAATTCAAACATTGGAAGTGATGGCATTTCCTTAAGAAAACTTTTAATTAGATTATAATGCTAAACGAAATAAGTCAGAAAAAGTCGAGAACCTTACAAAAGTTTAAAAAAAATAAATTTTATTATTTAAAGTTAAATGAGTGATATATTTTTCTTTGAGTAGAAAAGACACTAGCCATTCCTATTTAATTTAGACATGATAATGAAAATATATTGAGAACACTACACATATGCAATGTCTTTGAGAAAAATTTTGAAACAAGTTGGCTTAAAAATAGAAACCAGAATAATTAGCATATCAGAAATAAAACTGATTTGAGCTAATAAAATGCCCATTAAAACATTATAGAATGTTATGTAAAGTCAGTGATTTATCTCAACATATTTATTGGCTAAAAATATAGCAGCTGTTTATTAAACATTAGTCATGGTATGGCATTTCCTTGTCATGATTTAAGATTTATTTGGAAGTCTATTTTTTCTTTCATTTAATGGCTTGGCTATTTATTTGCAGGCTACAGAGTAACACTGAAAGATTTGAATGCCTGAAGCAAATATTACATTCAAAGACAAAGTTTCCCTGAACCAAGTGCATTTCTTTCTATGATGAATGTTCAGCTACTAGCTCCCTCTCGGAGTTAAAACTAACCATGATGCCAAGGAACTAGAGCAAAAAAATAAGACAGGATACTTAAGTAGAATTTTGAGAAAAGGAGGTGAGGCATGTGGACAATCTCTCATTAAAAAAAAAAAAAAAAGCTAGAGAGGAAAATAGTAGTCTGGAGAATCAGGGTATAAGAAGAATGTGACATCAAATCAGTCAGCTACCCAAAGGTGCTTGTTCATTTTTCTGTTGACTTTCAAAACTTTTAAGTTGTTATCATCAGCCCCACCAAAAATCTGGGACTTTTACTAATTTCTCTCTACCTTACAAACGTCAATGCTCATTATAACCTACTATTAGATAGGAACTTTACTAATGCTGGCAACCCCTCTCCCAGTGTTACTATACATCCCAGTTCAGCCATGCCAAAAAAAACTCCCAAGTTATCAAAAGCTTGTGTTATGCACAAAGACATTAACACCAAGAATCTTCATTTTTTTATATTGATGTTTAACTCATCAACAGAAGGTGAAACTACTTGAAATATTTACTAGATATATTTCCATATACTGCTTAAAACATTATGTATTCATAGATTAAAGAGAAAATAAATTATTATTCCTAAAGAGTGAATAAGATTTTTATCTCTAAATGTCCTATCTTCCCTATAAAATAGAAACCACTGAATGTTTTAGTGGTACCAAATATCTTTGATTCCATCCAAGACTTTTTAAAGTGTCTTAAAAATTTTAAATAAATAGAAGGAAGAATTAAGAAAATCATGAGACATTTTTATATGTTAAAAATTAAAATTATAAAATACCATGCTCATGGTAGAACAGTCCACTTCTCATAGTTAAAATCCCAAATAACTTGAGTATTCACATTGACCATCCTTCTAAGGTGCTGAGACACCAGGTCTGCAGTTGCTAAAATCATATTTTTATACACCTTCCACTCTACCCACCCACAATGAGATCACTATCATTACTTGAAACTGCTATATTCAAGATCTGAAACTGTAAAGTTAATCTTTCTGACACCACCTTCCTATTGTTCCTTATATATTTATTTATTTGACCTCAAAATCCAAACTGCTCTATTTTTAGTTATTCTACCTCAAATTTATTCAATGTGAATTCTAGGGTCATGGACCTGAAAAATTTGTGTATTTAACAATTATCATCATTCCCTGTTCCACAGACTTCTAGGGTTTACCATTTTTTTTACCAGTGGCTCTCAAGCCTTGCTAAAATGCTTGGGAGCTTAAAAAAACAAACAAATGCATGAGCGCCACTGGCCATGAATGTAGGTTTTCCTTCAACTGCACAATGTCCCTTTTAATTTGTGTGGTTCTTGCTCACTAACTCCTTGGGGATTTTGTTTTCTGGTTCTTCTAGAGTTTGACTCATTTGTGACTTCAATAATTGTCTTTCCCTTTGCCTCTCTTCATTTGGTTCCATTGTAGTATTCATTTACCCTCCTGTAAGTATGCTTCTCATTGTCTTAGAATGTACTTCCCTATTTGCTTATCTATTTTTTTAGATTCCAAGATCGATATTTAGCAACAAGGAACAATCAGTTGAATGCTCAACTGGTCTGTGAGCTGTAACCACGATGCACTGGAGACTGGGGAGAGCGGAACTCACTTCATGCACTGTGTATATGTTAGGCACCCAATCACCCCTCAGAGGCAGGTATTGTTAGCCGCATTTCAGGAAAGAGAAAACAAAGACAGCAAGACGTCTCTATCCAAGTTCTATACTGAATCAATGGCAGATCTGGAACTTGTACTTAGATTTCTCCTCACCTCTAAACCTAGCACTCTTTGCACTACAACGATCTGATGGTGAGTCACAGATGGGATTGAGGCTTCAGGAGGATGAGATTTGAGCGGACAGAGACCAGCAAGATGGGGTAAAAGACTTTATAAGAACATTCCTAAAAAGGGGAAGAAGGCGGTGGGGTGGAACTCGGGCACAGGGGAGCAAATCCGGTTGTATTAACTGGGTGGAGAGCAAATAGGAGAGGTGCTTTATTGGAAAACAAAGGTTCAAATATCACATCAAGAGTTCAGAATTTTTCAGCATGATCCATATGATATATGATATTCACATATGAAACATTTCTTTCAAGTTCTGGTCATTCTCTCTGGAACTCCAGCCTCTCTTACGACAACAAACAGGAGTGAACATGAACAAAGTGGCTTTCTTGTGCAGAGGTCTCAGACTCTTCTCTAATGTCTAAAGAAAAATACACCTGATAGACTTATTTCTGCTAGAAGACAGTGTATTGGGGAGTGAAGGCTGCGTAAGCAGGGGGCTCCAGGATATACAGTTCTGGCATCCGGACAGAAGAGACTGGACTGGACAGACAGGGGACAGGAAGGCCCTGAGCTTCTTCAATAGAAAAATGTTGTGACGGAAGCGGTGTTTCTTAAAGGCAAATTGTTTTCATAAAGATTTTGGATTGTATATTGGATGGTTAGAAGATATGGAAAGATGCAAGCTGAGAGGCCAGTTGAAAGTTCTTGCAGCAACTGTAAGGGTTAGGTCCTTAAGGCCTACGCTAAGGCAGAACTGGTGGGGCCTGAAAGTCTCACAGCATGAGAGGTTCTAACAGGGAAAACACAAAACCAGAAACAGAATTTTGGAGCAGGCTGGTTATTAAAAGCAGACTGAAAGAAAGAGTTAAGATGGCTTTCCAATCCCTCCTTGAAATTCCGATGAAACTGTGTTTCTGGCAGCCTGTTCTAATTTTCAATTATACTCCAAAGCTCACTGTCAACAACACATGAAAAGGAGTCACACCGAACATCACTCTGAGAAATCGGAGTCATATTTTTGTTAGCTCCTTCCGTGATAAAACCAACTGTATGTGTTGCTTGCCCTTTCTAAGGGATAAACACTGTAAATTCACTGAGTACCAAAATGAAGCCCTTTTCTGTACAGTTATCAGGTTAAGACCAGGAAGAGGCTCCAAAGGCAATCAGGGCTTTGAACAAAGCTCAGTGTAAATTGACCTTGTTCTTTTCTTTGGGCTGTAGCATCTCTGTGACTTGCAGACTGTGACATGTCTGCTGACTACACAGGGAACACACACCCTCGGCAGTTACGCGCCACCACCGCAGCAGATGTGAAGTCCTCAGGACCTGGTGAAGCGCACTGTGCAATGCAGGTAGGGGGACACGTGCCTCAGGTTACTGACCTTGCTTATTTACGAGCCGCGACTTCTTGCAATAGTAGGTCAGCTCCTGTTCGCAGTGCTCCGCCCGGTGAATTGTGGCCTGCAGTTGCTCCAAGCTGGCTACATACTCGAAAAACCCTGCATGTGGGTTCTCCGGATTAGTGTTTCTCACTCTGGTTAAGTCAGAGCCATTGTGCTGTATGATGGTCCACGCAGTTTCTTGGATGCAGAAATGGGGGAAGAAAGAGAGGAGACCATCACTAGTCTGCAAAAGTTAAAATAAATAAAGAAAATCAAAATCACCTTTTATCTGAGTCAAATGTTTCTAGTCATCAAACCTCTCTGAGAGGTAGAATCAACACAAATGGACTCTTCAAATTTTTGAATTCTAGTAAAGTGATTCTATTCCCTGATGTTTATGCAATTATCTTGCTTTGCAGTGATTTTACTTTACTTTTTCATAGAATTTAGCCGAACAATATTTATGGTGAAAAATATTAAGAAAACTGATTATTAAATTTTTATGGTATATTTCATCAAATCTCATATTCTGCCTTCTAAAGATTCAAAGTTATTTTATTTTCCTTAAAGAAAGAAAAAACAAATGCTACCTATTATTGTGAAACACTGTGGATTGTTGATATACCCTGAATTCAGAGATATTAAAATAGAAAAAAAGAAAAGTGCATCTTAGAATTTATATAATATTTTAAATTACATAATGAAAGCAATGTCTTACATTTTCTAGTCTTAAAAGTCATTCATGTTACCCACAAAAAAGAAAGTCAAATTTTTATGGCCTGTATTTACCTCTCTTCAGACATAAATAATTATGAGTATACATCTATTTCTTTTTAAACCACATTGGTATTGTTCATTTTGGTATCACGTGATCTGCATAGTTATGCAATGCAACCGGAAGTTGCTCTTTTGAACTAAATACATCTGATTCAGCATCAGCAACTCAGCTAAGACAAAAAAATAAAATATCTTTGCGTATTTACTAGAGCGATCGCTATTGGCACCTGAATGTGTGCAAACATTTCCGTCATGCTGATTGCCAAAAGTACTTAGATGAAATTAAAAAATCCTACAATGTTTGTACCAGAAGCTGGGGAGAATGTATCCTTCCACTTTTCCAGCAAGACTTCGTATTATATTTACTATGATATATATGCAGGCACAAGAACAGATGAATCAAAAGTCCTCTGATTTAATAGGTAAGAAACAGGTGGGAAGCTGTCAAAATTCTGGTATATATGTGCTGTTAAGTCACATAATTCTCTGTACTACAGAAGAATATTCCAAATTGGAGGAAAATAGTAGCTAGAATGTACTCCACCCCTCTTTTTAGCTAATACATTCACATGGTTCAACAATCAAACCAAGATAAGGAGGTATACTTTGAGAAATTTCACTCCCAGCCCTGTCCTAGTCCCCAGAAGTTAGAACCAAGAGGCCTGCTAAATAAATGAGATAGGACACAAATTTGACAGCCTTATTGCTTTCTATGTGTAGATCATTATTTTTCTCTGAAACAATAGCTGTTACTTTTATTTCTGCCTTGTATTTCAGCTCACTCTAGAGCTTTATCAGTAAAATACGTTCCTTGAAGAGGACGATATATATAAGCGAATGAAATGAAATACGGATGGCCACACAGTCAGCTGTACCATGTAGACGCCTTCAGGAGATCTGAGTGACAGCTCTGACATGGATCTGTGCGCCCTTAAGAAAGTCAGGGAAAATCGGAGCTTCCCTTTCAAAATTTGGAAAATAAAGTGGCAGAATATAGTAAGCAATATAGTAGGGCTGAAGTTCTATAATTTTAGCCAACTCAGCCTTGGCTGTTAGAAGTGGAAGATTATTAACGAGGCAAATCTGTTAGCCTAGCCTCTGCTGGGCTCTGCTTTTATTGTTCAGTAAAACGATTCATCTTTTCTTGTGGTAAGTCAATGGCAACGCACCAAGCAGCTCAAGTCTGGCTGAGCAGCTGCCAAAAGAATGGGACAATAAACCTGCTTGAAAGCTTTGTCTCTCTGGCTTTTGAGTCACACTGAAAGGTGACTTCCCTACCGTTTAGTATCCACTAGTTCACAATTAACACATGATTCTGAAGGTCCTTTTAGTTCTTGCAAGAGGTTCAAGGCCATAGTGCATGACAATCGTTAAAGGGCAACTTGTATAAATGTTTCCTTTTAAAATTCTAAAATTTCAACATGATGATCATTTCTGTAAGTGATTTTATTTTTCTAATAAAAGGGCTACAAAGCAGGAAGTTAAACAGATGCCACACTTATAAGGCAATCGAGATTTCCAGGGCAAAGCAGAGACAAGGAAATCATCAGCACAGATTCCAAGCAATGAAAATGAGTGCCCAGCAGCCATGTTCCACATCTGAGGCACTTTATTAGCAAGGCGAATCTCTCAAAACCATTAACTTATAGCCTCTTTACTGTTCTTTCAGACATAAGGGTGTTATCTGATAAGTCCACAAACACCTACTTAGAAATTACAACTGTAAAAGACATAGACTTCCTCACAATTTGCAGTTCGGTATTTTGTGACTTATTTTATTGCTCTTTCCCACTCATCTGTGAGGTCTATGAGAGGAGTGATAGTTTCCGATTTGCTAACCATAGTACTTCCAGAGCACATAGCACAGGGGCTTGGCACAACATGCAGAAGAAGACATTAGTTAAAGGAATGATTGAATGAACAGATGAATGAATAAAAACCATGCATTGTCTAGGCTAGAACACAACCTTCCAGGTTATCTGATTCTGATTCTATGGTGGCTCTGAGGCTTTCGTTGCCTTTGAGCTGTTTTATAACTCTAAATTGTACATACCCGATAGAATTGCAAAATAATGTTAAGTGTGAAATTGTGAAGGGCATGAGATGTTATCCTACTTGCAAGTTAAATTATCCTGCCTCATATACAAATCCTATCTAGCTAGCTATCATCTATCTATCTATCTCTATATTTATCTACCTATATATGGATATAGATATAGATGATAAAGATATAGATATATACTAAGACACAGGAGATCTCTGGGTCAGGGACCATTTGCCCACAGAGAATCTTAGCAGCATCCATTCTCCACACCCCAATTTTCCATGGGCTCATACAGTCAGAGCCAGGTGCAACTGTACTTGCTGGAGTTGCACCCCAACATTACAAGACGTGGCACTTACAGAGGATGGCTGGCACACCTTTCCCTTGCCTCTACGGAGTGAGAGAGGAAGGCAGGCGCAAATCCTTAGGTTTTATCACTCTTAGAATGTAAGCAAATGCTTTGCAGGGAGATATGCCTTTAAATCTCTCCCGAGAAATTCACTATCTCTAACTTCCAAGACATAGTAACACTTAATTATCCTTTAACCCAGGCTTCCAGATTTTTCTCTCTTGGAAATCAAGTTTCCTTACAACCCATAATTCTTGCCTACAGACAAGGAAATTCTACCTGGTAGAGGTTTGATTGACTTCTGTCCTCCACTATGGAAGAAGCTAGTTTTGCTTCCATTTGCAAATTCATCTCAATATTCCTGATATATATGTGTCTGTTCTTTGGATTCTCCTTTGAACTGGGTATAACATCTTACCAGTTTTTTTCATTAGTACTATGTGTTAAACAAAATCTTTAAAATGTGTTTTTTTAGCTTCTATTTTTATATCTGTGCAAGAGCCACGATTTTATTTTTATTTTTGAAAATTATCCTTTACCAAATGCAAAGAGAATTGTTAAGGAGACACAGGGAAATGAGTAGGAAGAGCGACCTGAAACAGGCATAAAATCTATCAGATTTAATAAACACACACACACACATACACACACACACACACAAATGAAAGGTGCTTTGGGTCTACCAGTGTCTCTCCCTGAGGAAATTTCCAGTAATATAAATTGTATGTAAAGCAACTGAATAATTAAGAACTTGATTTATCTTAGGTTGACTGCTATTTTTTTAGTGCGATAACAGTGTAGAGAAAAAAAACACACCACGCTGTTTAAGCAACACAGTTGCAGAGCTTGTGTTTCTTCATACTTAATAGCCCAGGGTGATAGATGTGATAGACACCATAAGAGCAGAGGAGCAGGTAGGAAGTGCTGTGCCAAGGGAAGCCGGGGCAATGAAAGGAAAGGACATCCCGGAACACAACCAGGTAAGCAAGCCTGCACTTGGATAATGATAGTTAGTTATTAACTCTCATAGCTATTAAGAAGGCCTTTAGGATTGAAATCCCTGAAGTAAAAACTGTTCTATTACAAGCCCTACACTCTCCAGCCTTCTCACTGAATGGCCTCTGGAGCCCCTACCTCGGAATCACAAGGGGAGCCTGTTAATGAGTAGGGACCTAGACCTTGGTCTCTAAACTTAATGAGTCCAGTAAAAGTAAACCCAGGAGTCTTGGTAGCAGTGCAGTGGGAAAGGGTGACTTCAGCCACCGAATTATCCTTTTCCCACAAGTTTGAAAGCCACTGCTATAGCCCTTGTCATTTTCTCCCCACTGAAACAATCGTCCTTATGCAAGGTTTAATCATGAGAAGCTTCTTGAATATAAAACTATTTCATTATAGAAAAAGCAATGGATTTTGTGTAGGAGAAAAGAAGTCCCATGTATTTCAATAGGGACAGACACAGGGATTCATATGATCATGACTAATTATTTTAAAATTATAGTTAGAATACTCTGGAAAAACAATTTTCAGTCTTTAATATGGTTTAGGAAAATGTCCATTCAAAAGAGATTTCCTTTGTATCTTTTAGCTTGTAATGCTTAAAGGTATTTAACTGCAATGTGAGAACACAAGAAGTCAGCGACCGGAGGAGGACCCTCAACCAACTACGCCGTCACCATGATCTTGGACTTCCCAGTCTCCACAACAGTAAAAAAATAGATTTCTATTGTTTATAAGCCACCCAGTCTGGTATTTTGTTACAGCATCCAGAATGGGCCAAGACGGGCAGTGTCCTCAATGGCTGTGAGAGCAAAGAGAAGCCATCCGGTGTGTTGTACAAAAAACCTCTAAAGACACATTCTGTAATAATTTCCACCCAAATCTGTTTCCCAGGCTTGACCTCCATCTGCAGTTTTTAGAATTACACATTAGTACACGGGAGCTGTTGCTCCTATATTCAGCCGTCTTCTCAGACGGTTCCCCCATCTGCACTGCTATTATCCAGTGCAAGCTACCATCATCAGCTCTTGCCTGGATTCCTGCATTTCTTGAACTGGTTTCCAAACAGGTTTCCTAACTCGATAGATAGATAGATAGATAGATAGATAGATAGATAGATAGATAGATAGATAGATAGATAGATAGATAGATAATAAAGAAATTGAGACATACAGATAGAAATAGATATACATATACATACAAGTATACATATACATACACTTCTTTTTTTTTAACAGGCTTGGACATATATTTCTGATACTGTATATGTGTGTGTGTATACCCATGGTATAAATATTTGGTCTCCTAACTTCCTTCCACCCCTGTTCCTGGATAGGCATTTCCCTACACAGGAGCAATTATGATCCTATTAAAGGAAGTCAGATTGCTTCCACCATTGCTTAAAACTCTCCAATGTCTTCTCAGCTCATTCAGAGTAGAACCAGAGACCTTACATCCATGACTCTCCCACTCCTGCCCCCGCCCCACTTGACTCTCCCCTACTCTCCTATTACTCTTTGATTACTTGTTACTCCAGCAACACTCGATTTGTTGCTGGTTTCTGAACACGCCTGGTAAGATCACCTCTCTCAGGACTTAGCACCTTTGCCGGGAGGTCTCTTGCCCCAGATAGTAACTGCCTGATTTCAAGTAGAAAATCCACCTCTGCAACATCTTCAATTTAATATTTCCTTCGTCTGTTTGTTTTGCTCCATGAAACTTTGATTTCATGACACAGCACTGTCCAAGGTAAACTTTTTGCAATGATGGAATAGGTGGCTATTGAGCAGTTAAAATGTGGACAGTGAGTCTGAGAAGCTGACATTTAATCTTATTTTAATGAATTAATTTAATTTTTAATTTCTAAAATTTATTTCAATTCATTTATTTTTATTAATTAATTTTACTTAAATTTGAATCTAAATAGGCACTTGTTTGCCAGTGGCTACTATACTGGATAGCACACTTCATCTAGAATCCATTTCTTTGAGTTTGATGATGAAGGGATCAAGATTCCTTTTTACAACATTCATAAACAATTTTCCCCAGGACTACTGGTTAAAAGGGAATCTTGATCTTTTCGATTTTGTTTCTTTGGTCTGTTTGTTTATCCTTGTGCTAATCACACAGTCTTACTTAGCCTTTCAGTATAATGCCTTTATACCTGGTAGAGTTGAGTCCTGTAACTTTATTCTTCAAGGTTAATTTGGTTCTTCTTGTCCCTTCAAATTTGCTGATAAACTTTAGAAACTGCTTGCTTGTTTTCACCTAAGGAATAACACCCACCAGCAAACAAATGTCCTGCTGGAATTTTAATTGAGGTTTGTACTGAATCGATGTCTACTTCGGAAAAATTGATATTTGCACCACACTGAGTTTACATTTTTCCATTTATTTAGGATTTTAGTTTATCTCAAGACCATTTTATACCTATCTATGTAGAAGCCTTGCACATCTTTCATTAGATTTATTACCACATATTTGAGATTTTTGATGCTATTAAAAAAAATCTAAAATTTCATTTTCTAATTGCTTACTGATGATATACAGAAATAAATTAATTTTCATATTAACTGATATCCAGTAATCATTCTAAATATCTGTAGACTGTTTAGAATATTCTCAATACATAACCTGGTCATCTACAAATATTGAGAACCTCAGTTCTTCCTTTCCAGTACTTATATCTTTCATTCACTTCTCTTGCTTTATTGCCCTGGCTAGGACCTCCGAAACAATGGAGAACAGTGATAACAGCAGGCATCCTTGTGTTGATGCTGGTAACAAGGGTAAAGTTTTCAATATTTCACCATAAACTGTGTTATATGCTATAGGGTTTTTTTTTGTGGGTGCTCCAGCATATGAAGGAAATTTCCTTTTATTTGTAATTGATTGACTTTTCTTTTTCTTTTTTATCATGAATGGATGTTGAATTTAATGAAACATATTTTCCATGACTATTGGTTCCTATTTAAATATATGTAAGTAAAGAATTCAAGAATAAACTTCATGTTTATCAAAATTTAAAAAGTAAATATTTTTCAAAGCTTTCATATGCATCCATCTTCACAGAGACTAAAGTCTATCCTTTTTGTTTTAGGACTTAATAAAATACATTTATTACTAGACGTTCTATAAACATACATGCATGGAAAATAATGATGACATTTTAAATCATTATCATTAAACTATTTTTTAATGATTTATGTTAGTTCTACTGAACAATATACATTTTGATCAAATTCAAATTAGGTCAATTTTCTACTTGCTTCATTTTCACTTTGTGATTAAAGCATTCATGCAAATTTAACTATTAAATGAAAGTTGATTAACTCACCAGTCATATTGCAATATAGAAGAAATGGTTCTAAGGGACCACTTCCATCTGAGTCTATATAGTAAAACCCTGAAGTATTTCCTCTATGCTTATAGGCTTCACATGACTGCTCATAGATAGCTGTAAAACAAATAAAATAAAACAATGGATCATCATAAATGGGATGGTATAAAATTAATCTCTTAAATTTTGATTTAGACACAAAATATTCCAAGTTTTAAAATTTAATGTGCACATTCCTGACCAGAAGAAAAGGTAAAACATAGTTTAAAACAAAAATCATTCTCTTTTTGAAAATTTGTATGGATGAAAATAGGTTAGATAGGGGAAAAAAAGGGAGAATGAGGTTGTATTTTATGGTATTATTTTTTATCACTAAAGGAATATGAGATTATTCAGTCGAAATAAAAATTTATTTTTACGTCAGATAGAACAACAAAAGAGAAGGTAGGTATTTTAAATGTTAAGACATTTCTAAGTATAATTTTGGAAATCCATCCAAATGGGTCTTTCAATATTCATTTTGGAATTCTTAATTCTGTATCACCTTGTAATAACCTAACATCCAAAGTACAATAGTGTAATCTCCTTAAATAATCTGCTGTTACCCAATAATTATGCAACAGAACAGTTTTAAATAATGTAACTATTCTCCTTTCTTACATAAAATTATCTACTGATAAAACCCTTTTTATATAAAACAAATATGGTTTACAAATCTCATCAATAATTTAAAAAGTAATTTACAAAAGAAGCTTTCCCTAATGCTCTGTAATGAGAATTCAAGATAATTAAAATTCAAAGCAGAAGAAATATTTATATGAAATTTGTCCCCAAGTGGTCTAAGTGTATTTTGATCCATAATTGGATGTTTTTCATTATATGATTATATATTTTCCATGTAAAGGTTTGATATTAACATGTGTATATGATGCACAATCTCACTGAATACTTGGCCAAATGTACTGATAATTTCCATCAACTTCTGTGTTCTATGAAATGAGAAATAAATCTTTCCCTGAATGTCTTTCCCTACCATATTCTAAATTTTTGAAAACTATGTTAAGGAGTTTTTAGACAATATAAAATAAAATAATTAATTTGTGCAGTGTTAAAAAAATTTCATATAATCATATCAAATTACTTCTTCACCCCTCCATAATCTGATGGTTTTATTTTTTCCTATTATATATTATATAGAAGGAAATATAGGTATGGATTGCTTTCCAGTGTCATTTGTACTTTGTGCAGTGAAGCAGGCATGTAAAAATGGTTAATTCATACACATTTATATGCACACACCTGTGATCATAAACTCCTTGAAAGGTATTCGCAGAATCTACACATAACATTGGACTGAAAATGGCTACTAGAAAGGTCACATGATTGAATAGGGTAATTGTGAGTACTTTCGCTCTATGTGTATTGCTTGACATTTTATAACATGATTGTTTAACATAATATTTCCTAATAAAATTTTGTTTTAATTTTATTTTTTTATTAGTTTCAAGTGTACAAATCAACATGATAGTTTTTAAAAGACCCATCCCTGCCCCTCCCTCTACTCATGCTAAAGATAGTGAAGGCTTCACTATACTAGGTTTATCAACCTGGTGCCATTTCTAAGAATGGTTATTGGCAAAAACAAACAAACAAACAAATTTTAAAAAGCCTTCAGTTTCATTTAGACTACCTGCTCAAAAACCTAATAAGTTTACTCAATGATTGGGTCAAATTGTAGGCCACAGATGAAAATATATTATTTAGTTATCATCCGTTTTTGTTTTTTTCTTCTCAGAGCTGTTTGGGTTTATATTTAGATTCAGCCATAGATAACACTTAAAGACAAATAATCAGTCAACTAAATTACATTCAATTAGTTCTCATTTTGAGTTAGTTACTATAATGCAGATGATGGAGGACATAAAAAAATGAAAATATATAGTCCCTCCACTAGCTGGGTGACCTTTGTCAAGCGGCCTCTGGTTACACTGAGGTGTGGCTTCAGGAACAGCAAACATTCTTCATGATCTTATGAGGCAATATGTAAGTTGATGCTCAACATAACTTCAGCTGCAGCCCTGAACAGGACTTCTGAGAGGCCCCTTGTGGAGCCCACAGGACTGGGTGCTCGGGATTCCAATCTCAGCTCTGGCAGGAGTACAAAGCAGCGTACAGTGAAGGGATTGAGGAGGGTGAGGCTAATGACTGCAACTAACGCCCTTCGGTCTCCCCAGCACCTGTACCAAACAACTGGACAATAAAATGGCGTGAGTCTTACAACACACGCAAACATTTCATCAGAAAACAACAACAACATGATTTCTAATGTAGGAAAAGTGCACTGGTTGTGATTCCAGGCTCTGGAGCATAATTGCAAGTTTTCACATCCTCGCTGTGGCTCAATTATTTAAGAAGCCTTAGGCAAGGCGATTAATCTCTCCCTATTACCTCATGAGTAAATTAGGGATAATAATAGTACCCACCTTCTAGGGTGGTGGTCAGGATTAAATGAGTTGGGTCAACTAGAAAGCAACTGGATGCTAAAATTCAGGGATGTATATTCCAATACGTGGTTGCACATCCAAAGACATATATGCACACATAGGAATGAAAAGGGGAATGGAACAAGGAAATCAGGAGAGGAGAAAGCAAGCAGGTGTGTTTGGCTTACAGTTGTGGCAAGTAGCTCCTTTGTAACCAGTGTGAGCACAGTTGCAATGAAAGGTGTTCCAGGACTGGGAGCATTCACCTCCGTGTTCACAGAAGTTGGGCAAACACCTACATGAAGGGGCAGGCACAATCACTATTTTTCACTTTGAGATATCATAAAAATATCGATCATTTGTACATGGACATGTGAAAGAGGAATGTCAACAGTAGCATAAAGACTAAATTTGACATGACTAATGATCATCCAGTCTGTTGTTAAGGTACTTGACTCACAGACCTAAACCTTAGATTCAATAAATTCACCAGATTTCAACCAATTCTCAGGTAGTCGTGCCTGCTTAATGTTCAACATGTCCGACTCTCTTAGAGCCCATGCTTTTCCCCAAGTGACGTGACACCAATTCAATGTTGCCAATAATATCAACAGCTTACGCAAAGCAACAGCATTTAATCAGACTGATTAACTACACTGAATATTTAAAGGAAGAAGAAATACAGAGGACAGGAGAGAAGAAGGTGGGAGGGAGGGACATCTGTATTCACTTGGTGTACACATCCAGGGATGTTGAAGGTGTATGATGTGGACACCGTTTCCAAGCAGTGTGTCAGGCAGGGTGCTGAACTGAACTCATAGGCGCTCCCCGGATATTTAACTTTTCAAGAGAAATACAGGCATATTCAACATCTGTCAAACACTGTGTGCTAGCTTGAGGTAGTTCAATTTCAACATTAGATAGCACTATGTTCCTTTTAATGACATCCTATCTTTTAGAAGTTGAACTTTTAGTAGTTGATAAAAAAAAAAAGTACTATGTCAAGTCAATGTTAAACAGCAAATGAAGGTGGCAGGATCTGAACTGATTCCAAGCTTTGAAAAGTTGTACAGTACGCAACAGCAAACATGTAGCATTACTAAATAATTGTGTTTAATTAAAAGTGAAACAAAAATATTTTTCAAATTATATATATGTTTTTTCAAGTTATATGTAATTTTGGAAAAACATTTTTCAAATTAGATATATATAAAAAAGTATATATATATATATATATATATATATAATCTTTAAAAAATTCTATTAAATTTATTGAGGTATCCTTGGTTAGTAAAATTGTATAGGTTTCAAGTGTATATGTCAGTAATACATCATCTATATATTGCACTGTATGTTCACCACCCAGAGTCAGTTCTCCTTCCATCACCATATATTTGACCCTGTTTACCCTCTTCCACCACCCCTCTCCCCCTTTACCCTCTGGTAACCACTAAACTGCTGTCTGTGTCTATGAGTTTTTGTTTGTTTTGTTTGTTGCTTTCAGTTTTATATATACAATCTTTTTTAAAGGGTTATCAAATTGTTAGGCCATAAACACTTATAAAGTTGTTTGTACCTAAACCACTTTTTAAGTGAAAGTTGTAGGTATACCTTTCGGCTTTGGACACTGAAAAAAATTACTGAATGACGCATTGAGTCCAAGGCTTTAAATGTTCTCATTCATCCCAGATTAAAAAATAAACTACAAAACCAGCCACCTCCTTTATTAAAATGAAGCATGGAAACTTCATGTTTTGCTTACAGGATTTTGTCAAATTTAAATAACATTATTGATTTTACCTGATAATATAAAAAATAGATGTCTAATATACAGAAATCCAGGAAATAATAGAAAAGAAATATAGTTTATAATCTCAATATATAAAAATTATCACTACAACATATATATTTGGTGCTGTTTACATATACATTATATGATGTATATATACATTATATATACATTATGCACATATACATTATCATATATGTGCATGTATATACACATATGTATATATTTAATCATAACATTCATGCTGGTTTACAACTGCTTTTTAAAAATTCACAAATAAATAATGGGCATCTTTCCATGCCAATTAAGTTTACATATATTTTAGCATTTTTATAGATCCATCGGAATTCATTCAAAGGACGTTTCATGATATATTTATATTTTAAATATTTCAAATCAATGACAATCTAGAAGAGGAAAATTTTTTAAAATTAAAACAATAACAGCTCTAGTTGGTCATCAGAAAAGGACATAGCAATCTGTTCTTTAATAGACCTGAGGCTATATTTTAAAGGGAGGCAGGCTTAAGTGGCTATGCCTAAAATTCTAAAGACTGAATCTTTACTTATACATGTGCTATTTCTAATTGATCTGCTACTAAAAGATTCAAATCCATTATCCTTGATTCTTGTTAGTCAGACTTGACTTTCACATTTTTAAATTATTAATACAATGTGAAAAACTGGGTTTTGGATTTTATTTAAATTCATCATATAGTAGTTCTGTTTGACTTTTCTTGCCTATGGCAAATTACATTGTATGGTGAAGTGCTAATTCTCACTAAATGTTCTTGCCAACTGGACAAAATAATTCTCTAGGTAGTCCACCACAAGAGGGTTTATTCGGAAAAAGAAAAAGAAACAAAACCACCACAGCAGTAGGAGGATGCACACCTCTGGCCACACACCTCTGGTTGGCTGCCCATGTGCAAAAAACAGAGCTCTTCTCAAGATGGTTCCGGAAGTTGGAACCATAAAGTTTTAACAGGAAGTCAGGACTAGAGAGTAACAGGGAGCCCAGCTCCACCCATAGGCCTCCTAGTTCTATGGTTAGTCATCTTAAGATGCCCGTTCACTTTTATCATTCTAAACAATTGTATTGTACACTTTTCTCTTCAGTAGTCACTTCAATGCAAAGTAAAACAACCCATCAACCCATTTGTTTCTAGCATTTTCCTTAGACTTTGCCATCATTATTTTCATTGCTTGTGAACTTGAACAAATGTATATATACATCAACATGCCCAAAGCTGAAGTGACGTGTACGATTTTGGTTTATCCTGATTCCCTGTCCATTCTAATATAAATTTCAAAATACTTTCACACAATGTAAAACGTGGCTGGAATTAATGATATTGAAGCAAAAATCTGTATAACATTATTACATGTAGGAAAATTGAACAGTTTGGTGTCTATGGGCCCTAGGATATGGTGACCACCTGAAATCAAATCTCATCTTCTTCCTCAAAACCATGAAATCAACAAGAACCAGCCCCTCACCCCTACCCCACCCTTCCTTTCACCCCCAACTAAATAAGCCATCTTCAGTATTACAGGAGACAGAATGACACTCTGATCTTCAGATCAATTGTCAGCAGGGGAATAAACACACATGTGAGCATAAGGGCGAAGCAACAAGGGAAGGATTAAGGGGCTTCTCGGGGGGAAAAGGAGAGGGGGCGAGGGACTGGTGGGAGGCCAGGACCAGCCTGGCGGGTAGATGGTGCAATGGAGGCTCGAGGCCCAAGCCCAAGCACTGGCTGGTGGCCGTGGACTGGGAGAAGAGCATGGTGGAGGTCTGAAGGCTGCAGGCTGGGGAAGCCAGGAGCAGGTCGCTGGGCCTGCTGAGGTTGCCACGGTGAATGCTGTGACCCAGGGGCCTCAATTCTCATCAGGAGTCTCTGTAGCTCTGGTGTCATTTGAGACCAAGGACAAAGCACACCTTCTGCTTTATTGCACTTGGGAACAGATAGGCAATGTCAGGGCTGAGGTGGTGACCTTCCCCAATCAGCAGATAGTCTTAAAGTGCTGATGTCAAAAGATATGCCTAATTCTTTTGTTTAATAAGTGCTTTAGGTCCAAGCAACTTATTGTAGTCAGTATTTATGCCCTAACAACTGACACCCCTGCCCCAGCGCCATTTGGGTTCCTGCCAAGACACACAGACATGGACATGGGGACATGGATGGCAGCTCCCTTTGCAGTTCTGCCCTCATTTCCATAGAGGGATTGACTGCCCTCCCCCATCAGTCATCCCCCACCCAGGTTTCCTGGACTTAGGGCCACCTGCCCTGTAGGTGTATGTCCACAGAGGACAATGGGAAGGGTTTCTAGGTGAGTGTGTGTGTGTGTGAGTGTGTGAGTGATGGTCCATTAGGAAGATATGCATGTGTAAGAAGGGTGGGAACGACCTTATGAGTGTATGGGTGGGTGTGTAAAGATGGTGTGAGTTTGTGAGAATGTGCGTGTGTGAGTGTACACGTGTATGGGTAATGTGTGAGGAGGTGTGTGGATGTGTGTACAAGGAGTGTGTGTCTCAGGACTATGTGTAGGAAGGAGCTTTTTGGATATGTGAGTGAGCACATGTGTACATGTGTGAGAGACTGTGCAACGACTATGTTAGTTTATACGCGTAGTGTATGTGGATGACTATGTAAGTGTGAGTTTGAGCCAACTTAAAGTTAGTGACAGCAAAAATAAGAACTACATTGTTTTTGTTCCTGTCAAATTTTAAAATATAGCTTAATGTTCCTGTTTGTTTGTAATTACAGTTTATTAAACCATAAAATTAGGAGTTTACTATACATAGATTAAATATTAACCATAATAAATGTTAATGTGTACCCAGGGGGACTGTATAACAGGTAGACATTTCCTAGTACCAGATAGCTTAGATTTGATACTGAGCCCTGTCTTCTTAGCCAGATTACTTAACCTCTCTGTGTATCTGTTTCCATATTTATAAAAAAATAAATACTACTAAGAACAGGGTCTAAGGGTTTTTGTAAGGATTAATTTACATACTTATTAATTAATTTTAGAACATAGTCATTGCACAGTTTCTCATACACATATACACTCATAAACTCACTCACATATCCGAAAGCTCCTTACATACTTGCACAAATCCTCACCCACACAACCCCTAACTCCTTACACATTAATCCATACATCATGCACATACAGGCACACATCCACACCATTTTATCACACTCACGTACTTGTAAGGTCATTCACACATGCATTCACACAGTCCTTACTCACTTCTTCCTTACACACACTCGTTCACACACACACAAGCTTAAATACAAATTTATGTTAAATGCTTAGTACAGAGCTTGTATACTAATTTTTTTAAATGTGCTATTTAATAATGCTTTGGAAGCTATGTCAATAGGTATAGTGTGTAAAACCAAGATAAATAAATGTAGTCAGCCCTCTGTATCCACAGGTTCTGCATCCACAGATTCAACCAACAGGGGATAGAAAATATTCAGGAAGAAAATGTGTTGTTGTTGATGTGTACAATGTACTAAGGCCTAGGATGGCTGTGTCTGCACTGAACATGTACAGACTTTTTCTAGTCATCATTCCCTAATCAATATAGTGCAACAACTATTTACATAGCATTTCCATTGTATTATGGATTTCAGTCATATAGAGATAATTTAAATACATGAGAGGATATGCATAGGCTATATGCAAATACTACACCATTTTATATAAGGGACTTGAGCACCCATGGGTTTTGCTATCTGTGGGGAATCCTGGAACCAATCCCCCATGAATACCAAAAGACAACTGTTTATATTTTCTCCTGAGTCTGAAAGAATGAGTTTAGAGATATATTTGGAAATTTAAAACATATGCAAATATAAAAGTTACTTTGATTTTTGTGGTTTTAAAAAAAATTGTCAGAGTGACCATTAGCCTGAAGTTTTTCTTTAAAAAAAAATGTGTAGTCAAGACCTATGAATAATTTGCTCACTGAAGTCTTTTTGAGGTGTGATATTAAAACCATACTTTCTCCAGGTGTGCTGTGTCTTACAGAAAGCAGTGTGTGCCTCCAGAAAGCAGGAAACATGGACTCCTTGTATAAAATGGCCACTCCAGAGTAACCACACAGGAGAAGTATGGGTCTGTTTGTACCCAAAGAATTTTCTGCAATCTGAGGCAGTCAACATGACCATCATTCATGATATGGATGACCGAACCTCCCCACTGGTCTCTGATGGCTGTTACCATCAGAGGTGGGGGCCCCCTGCCACTGTAAGTGAGCCCCCCACCTTAACTGAATTGAGGCTCCAGAGCTGGTATGGCTCTGACTATAGAAAAGGTCACTTTCATTTAATTTCAAAACCAAGCCAATTTAGATTTATTGTCTAAATTGTCCCTTTACGTATCATCTTTCATTTAGAAAGGATTACTTTTATCTACAAACTGGGTTAAATAAATGTGTATTCCTACAGAGGAAATGATGTCCTTCAAATCCATTGTTAAATAACATTATAATTATTTTCTGTGGACATCACAGTATCAATTAGTGTTCAAAATAGGATCAACAGACACTGATAGACTAAATGGTCTATCAAATATAAATAGATGAGTGTTTATGTTCATAAATGTTGCATCCAAATAAAAAATTATTTTTAAAACTCAGAATTTATGATTTTATTCAAAATATATACTGAACACTACTACAGGATAGGGGCTAAATGTGACACACTGTTTAATTTTTTTAAATCTGTAATGGCTGGCCATGACATTCCGCTGAACTCAATAACTAACTAAAATTAACAGCCTTGATGTTAAAGCATGAGTGGAAAGATTAGTTGGCTAAAGTTGACCATGCCTAAAAATGTTTTTAAATTATTCACTTTCGATTATCATTCTATTGGGTTGTCGGAAAAGTCATGATGTATTTTTCTGTTTTTCATTGCAAAAATGCGTCATGACTTTTCCAACGACCCAATAAAAATTGCTTGTCCTCTACAATTAACTCCCAAATTTTGCACTACCATGTCCTAGCCTGGAATTACTATTGAAACTACTGGATCAGCCTTACATCTTGATCAATACTACAGCTCCACACTTTTCCAGAGGAAAGGTTCTTTTTCATATTTCCTGCAAAGAAAATAGTAATGGGTTTTACACTTTAAGAGCACAGCAGCCAGTTAAATTTCTATGCCTCTGAATATATTACTCAGCTGTCAGAGAAGCAAAAGGGAGCTTGATAACCAACCAGATAGGTCTCCGATTTATTGGTACCTTATGATCAATATTGGTGTTAGGGTATCCTAAGCTATTGAGTTTAGTGATATATTTTTGATACATTTATACCCACCTAAATTTATAGCAGCATCAACCTTATCTTTTGTGAATTGGTAGCATGTGCACCTATAAATAACATGGTCACATGTCTTCTATCTAAATTGAATCATTGCAGCTATGAAGTATAAAACTAAAGGCATAGTTTTCTTATTTCTCATGTGAAGATAACCCATTTCCTGTGGAACAGGAAATGGTGGAAAGGAGGAGAAAAAGCTGTTTTACATAGGGCCGGCCAAGTGGCTCAGCTGGTTAAGAGCTCACTTGGGAGCGCCAGCTCTGAGCAGCAGGGCTGCGGTTCGGATCCACATTGAAGGCCAGTGATGCTCGGCCCTCTACAGCTAAGATGATGAACAACAGCTCGACCTGGAGCTGGGCTGCCGTGAGTCGCCTACAACGGCATGGGCTGCCGTGGGCTTCTGTGAGCTACGTGAGTGGCTGGCAGCCAGTGTGAGTGGCTGGTAGCTGGTGTGAGCTACCGGGAGCCGCTGTGAGCGGCCAACCAATGACTGGTGACCGATTGCCTCACCAGGGAAGAGCACAATGATCATACCAACATGGGCCAGTGAAGCGACGTCCTCCACAGCTAGACTGAAGAACAAAACAGCAACTTGTCTACCTGTCTGTTCCCCTTCCCCGATTTCCCAATGCTGTTCCCCTCCCCCCAATTTTCCAATAAAATCTTTAAAAAAATGTTTTACATATAAATTTTAATCTGCTACCTAACATTTAACAATGGACAGGTCAGGTAAAAAAAAAAGAAGTGAGATGGTTCTTACCGGTCTGTGATTCCACATGAGTCTATCTGAAGGTCACTGAAGTTCCCCAGAGACCCCTGCTGAACTGAAATCAGGTCTACCAGCTTGTCACTGACAGAAATGAGTCTCATACAGCCCTGAAATCCACCAAGGGGATTTTTACATTTGGATCCAAAGCTGTTGTCAGGACAACCTGATAAAAACAAAAAGAAACAAAGTAAAACCAGGAATAAAATCAAAGTAAAATCATGAGTCAGGAGTCAGTATCATAGAACACTTCATTAAAAAAATAAAATAGGGGTTTCATTATTTTCTTAAATTAAAAGAGGGAGAAAAAGCCCATTGCGGTCATCATTAGTTCGCTCTAAATTACAAATTGCAACTCATACAATGTAGCTCTCTTTATTATCATAGAGTTCACAGAAAATGACTACTGTTATAATAATTGTGTGCAGGGATATTAATTTGATCCAAATTTTAAAATGTGTGCATATATTAGCTCCAGAAGCCTAAACATGTTAGTCAGCAGTATGAAATTATATATAACTTAAATGTAGAAACTTAGTCTTTGGAACACAAAAAGAAGAGTATAAAGGATGAAAATGTGCACTGTAGATAAGAAAAGATAAATCAATAATGGTGAAATGCTTTTATATTTAAAGTTAACTATTTGAAAAAGAAGTTATATTGACTTGGAATAAAATTACCAACTAGTTTACTTAAATGCTTTATTTTCATATGCATATAAGAGCCATGTACTCGTATGTATGCATTTAATAAATCACAGTGACTTAATGTCAAAAACACTTCACTGTTTGTTTTTATTTATTCTTTGCCTCATAAAAGAATGTTCCATTTATATTGATTATTTTCCCCTCACATCTAAAACCTGCTACTAACTATTTAAATAATAAAGAACTATAATATTGACCATGATTGTCTGGGGTTTAATGATGTTCTAAGTGTTTCTCTATTCAAGTGAAATAAATAATTTTATGGAGTATGAACTCATATATTATACTTATGCATTTTTCATTAATCTTTCTTTGTTGTTATGGTTGTCAACCACTATTAAAATTTCAAAGAATAAGAAATGAATCAGCAACTTCATAATTCTGTACAATCCATGCTAGTTTTCTACGTGCGAATGTCCAATATAATTAAATATTTTGACTAAGAATATTTATCCCTAATGCTTTATTTCCCTAACAAAATGCATTTACATGGCAATTCAAGGCCAGATTCATAGTCAAAACTGTTATCAGATACATTGAAATGTTATATTTTAACCCATGGAGAGGATGACATTTCAAATGTAACACATCAAGAAAAGGTAATGAAAGCTTTTGAGTATCAATTTATTTGTACATGATACCACACACATTTTCAGTGCTTAAATCACTTTTGTGGTGTAGGATATGGTTACCATATCTCTGTATGTTTTCTAGATGACTTATTAACCAATTAAGAATGTTAAAATAAAACTTGAGAGGATACTAGTTCAATAATATTTGGGGGCAACTACAATATGCCAGGAATATAAACAGCTATGCTAATCTCCTTTTCTCCAGGTGGTGTTTCCTGACACATTTCAAACTATTGCAGAATAAAATAAATTGTGCAACGTGCCTGTAGGAAACGAAGCTAAGAAAACTTGTAGTCACACGGAAAGGTCACGGAACTTTACAGATAGCACACCCTCACATCATGAGGTACTTCATATCCCTAACCACAGTGTTTAATAGCAAGAGATGCTAAGAACAAAGAAAGGTTCAAGCTAGGTTAGTCTCATTACTCCGTGATGACAGGCATCTACAAGTTAATATAATGCAATAGCAGAGAGGAGTTCAGCCCGAAACCCGTTTGAGATGAAAGTTCTAAAATATGAAGATTTCTGGGGAATACTTAATGCTGAATTAATGGATGGATCCATTAGCAGAGGCAGTCAGCATGTTAAGCACCTCTGAGGATGACAGATAAATGATCACTGTGTGTCACTGTGCCAGGAGTGAGATGTCGGGTTTCACTGCATGGTGATGCAGTCAGCTCACTGGATGGATAACGTTTGATCTGCACAAGCAGGGGTGTGAGAATTCTGCACATAGTTTGGCAACTCTAGCTTGTGCTGTCGTGTGTGTCAGTCAATAGCACAACAGATTGCATAGAGGAGGGTACAGAAATTAGACATCCAACCTCAATCTGGAGAACCCAGGTTTAAAATTTATAATTTATAGATGATAAAAGTTGACCATGAGGCAGTCTGACTTTCTGAAAAGCATGCATTTGAGGGGGCAGAAAAAAAGTGTAAAATGATGGACAGATATTGGGGTTTGGTGTGGGTTGCTCCTGAACTTGCAGTCTTCTGTGTAACTTATAATGAATGGAGATACAACCAAGTCTGTTGAAACACCCTGCTCCTTTGCAGCAGGCCCCGCAGTCAGCTTAGACTGACCATTTGCTGGTAAGACAACTGGAAACTTGCCATTGAATTTAAAGAGAAGCGAAGGAGAACTGATAGGAAGTGTCTCAGAACGTGGCATATTTATTTACTAGCAGATAAACTGGCTGAAGAATTAACTACCCAATAAAAGCCTTCCACCTAGATAAAACAGATCCTAGTAAAAAAGGGGGCCCTCATCCACACAAAACACAAAGTTTTCTGGGGAGACCAATGGTCACAGTTCACCCTGGGGTGGGAAGGGTGCTCGCAGGAATCCCAGCTTTCAGTGCTCAAACTGGGGCGAGTTGGTCACCCCGTTGCCAGTACCACTCAGGCAATCAGGGCCCCTGTGCCAGTCCTGCACTTTGGGGGACCCTATTCTAGCCATCTTCCCGTCATGCTTTTGCCCATGACCCCAAGAGGCCCCACAGGTTAAGGTGATATGCCCACTCAGAACCTTCTCCCCACTCTCCAGTCCACGTCCAGGATGCAGAATAACCAGCCCAAAAGCCCAACATGGGCTTCGAGAAGGACAGACCTCCTCTGCGGGGTGCTGGAGGCACAAGGCTGGGAGGAAGGGGAAACATAGAGCAGCTGAGTCCTCTGCTTTCTTTTAGCCCCTTGCACCCAGCCCTGGAAATCTCAGCGTGCGTTGGAGTTTGCAGGGCATGTATTTAATGACCAGAATCTCATGCCAAGACCTAACATAATTCTGGGACTGAAGGGTACCAATTGAGAAGATGACTGATTAAACAGACATACCTAAGTGAACTTAAGATTGGTTATTTAAAAACAAAAAAATATTGATGTTATCATTTTATTATGGAAGCTTCCACAGTATATTGTTTAAAAACTTAGAAACACCTTAATGAATGTCAAATTATAAAGGTGATGAGGGAAAGAATAAACCCCCAATTCAAGAACACAGTGTGTACCTGGGGAGAGGAAGCAATATGATCCTGGAAGCACAAATGGATGCTGGTAATGTTATCTTTCTGAAGCTGGGAAATGCATGTGGGGAAGTGTATTTTCACAAGAGCAATTCGAATTCTTTAAATTGTATGTATGACGGAAGAGGTGAGAGACAGAGGGGATGGTATGGGGCATACGGGGACTCGCTGTGCATCTCTGCCCCTTTTGGGTACATCTAAAACTATACTCACAACTTAAAAGTTTATTTAAATATAATTGTGTATATCATATGTAGTATAATAAAAACAATCAATATTACAGAGTGCACATGTGATTTATTTCACTATAAAACATGACGAGTATGAATAAAAGCAATCAAAATTGTCTGCAAAAAAAATAGGCATCGTTAAATCTGAACATGGATGTAAAATACTTTAAGACAGATGATCCTATTTTCATGATTTACACTTTTATCCAGCCTACTATTTTTATCACTTTTTTTTTTTTTGGCATCATTTAACAATGTGCTTGTTTTTTCCCCCCCTTATCTATTAGTGCTTCTAAATCTTTCTCTTTGAAGTGAAAGCTCTTGGTTAAGTTGGTCTATATATCTTACCATCTATTAAAGGAATGTGTTCCTATGGATTGCCATAAAATCAATCATATAGCCCAAGGTTTTATAAACAACTTGGTTCAGAAATGTACAAATCTTACTAAAGGAAGTAATTACATCTTTTAAGGCGGTTGGCACTATGCTGCCTTCCATAGTAATGGATTATGTAGGGTTTTGTTTGTTTGTTTGCTCTTAATATCAGATGAATGATTCATGATCTAGGTGCCTACTGTCAATTCTTAGAAAGGAATTTGTATTTTACTGATGAATAATAAATGTTGGGCTTTGCACCAAATTAAAAAGTAACTTTAAACAGAAGTAACAATTAAAATTTAAAACAACGACAATAAAAAAACACCTCGAGTCATGATTAGAAATAAGTCTTACCATTAACAGTTTTACAACTTTGCCTTTCTAATGGTAAATGATGTGACATTTTCTTTTAACTTTTCAATGCTATAGATTCATTTCCATTTCCAAGGTTTCCTTTCCAATCTTTCAGTTCAATCAGACATCCACTGGGCAAGTAAGTGCTTCATTTGTTTTTGCTCTTTGAGAGAGATGGCCTGGTGTTGAAGGCTGATGCCCAAATTTCATCAAATGTATCAGTCAGTGCATTATCATTTAGCAAAGAGAAGAGGTTTCTATGGCTAATTAAGTTAGATTATTTGTCCATTGGTGTAACAGTGCCCTTCTGTACAGGGCAGTAGGAAAGCAATAAGAATGCTCCAGAGATGCTAAGAGACATGATCAGGAAAATACTGCAATAAAATCAGCCCATAAACTCAGAAAAAAGACACATAATGACCATTTAGCATTAGGAAAATATAACAAAGTTTGAAAGTAAGAACTGAAGAGGGCAGCCTAATTGCAATTAATCTCATTGTAGAAACCATAAACAACTCAACATTTCTATGTTCAAAGAAAGTGAGAAACTATTCCATAGTAGTGACACTAGGTGAGATATGATGACGTTTCCAAGACACAGCAGTAGTAACTGAAAATATGGTTCAATTGTCCATATTACCTGACCTCTTCTCTTACCTCCAAAATAATAGTTGCCACCTGAATAAATCTGCTCAGGCCCCAGGGAGAAAGAAGCAGAGGCCACCTGGCCATCCACTGCCACACTCAGGTGATTCCTTTGGGCAGATAAGGAGATGAAATGCCACTGCCCATCATTTAATCCAACACCTAGGGGAGATTACATAGGTTCAGAGATCTCTCTCAACAGTGAACAGAATAAGCAGTTAGTTAGAAACAGCAATATACATATCACTCAATCAAATACAACACTCACATCTATTAATAAAAAATTTAAAAAAGGAAGAGAGGAAAAGAAGGCAAATCGGAAATCAATACCCTCTACAGGGAAAATGGTGCTTTATTATCTTTCTTTCTTAGGGCTTCAATAGAGAGAACAATATCCCCAACTTTGGACAACCCTAAATGGTTAAAATCTTTCAATTATTTGGCATGGACTAATTTTCTGCTTCCATCACGTAATTTAGTTTTAAGAAGGGGTTTAGGACGAGCACAGATATTTTCCAAAATTCTAGGTTATACCCAATACAATGACTTTTCTGCTTTTTTACACTTTTATGTGATCATCTTTTATAAGATTACAGTATAATAATGAATATCAAGGCAATCATTACAAAAATATTTGAAGAGACTAAAACAAATATTGCAAGTTTACCAATATAATGAAAAGTTAAAAAATAAAGGAGTGTGCAAAGACCACTATTTACAAAGTTGGTCCTCATAATTTGCAGATTCGCTACCTGCAAATTCACCTACTTGCCATAATTTATTTGGAACCCCAAAATCAATACTTGGGGCACATTGGAAGTCATTCACAGAAATGCATAGAGCAGAGAAAAATGTGAATTGATTGGTACACATATTTACAGCTAAAGTAAAACAAGGCGATGCTTGTTTCAGCTCTCATACATAAACATATTTTTCTCACATTTTTGTGTTTTGTTGGTGATTTTGCCATTTAAAAGCCCCTGAGCATAGTGATAAAATGTTGTCTCGTGTTCCTAAGGGCACAAGGGCTGTGATGTACCTTCAGATCATATGTGTGTTAGATAAGCTTCGTTCAGGCCTGAGTTATGTTGCTGTTCGCCATGAGTTCCATGTTAATGAGTCAACAATATACATTAAGGTGTGTATAAACAGAATCACACATAAAACAAGATTATGTATCGACTGGTTGACAAAAATGTTGTGCTAGAAGCCCTAGGAGCGATGGTTCAGCATTTGCTAATCCAGCGTGCATGTCAACTTTATAGAACATAACTGTTGTGAATAATGAGAATCGATTCTCTATGCATAATTCTAATTACAGTCCTAATTTTTGTATAAATATGGGAAAGGACTGAAAGAAAATATCCCTACAAATAAACAGTAATTTTTTGCATGAAGGCAAACTGGTTTTATTCATTTTTTTGTATTTCCCAAGTTTATATATGCAATCAAAAATTGCTATAATCAAAAATCAAGGTTTTATTATCACCTCTAAAAACAATCTTTAGCCCCTCCAAAGGCAGTCCCAGGGTCATGAATCTATGACATGGTGTCGTCTTTCCCTCTTAAAGGGAGTTAATTCTACAGGGGCTCTGTGGTTGAATACTTGGCAGACAGGTGGAATTTAAAACATCTCTGATGTGGATTTATCATTAAGTTTTACATCCATTGACTATTCAACTCTGATCAAATTAATAAACAAAAATATAAGTACTCTATTAAACTCAAAGGTCATGGGCCTCCCTTCTGATATTATGTGCAATTTCTTTATTTCTTCAGCTATTTTCAACCACAAGCTTTCAGATAAAAAATGCATAGAAGCTCCCTTAGGCTATTAAGCTCTTTGTCCTGGACTCATTTATTATAGTATAACACAAATTGTATCCTGGGCATGAATGCTCATTTTCACATTCCATCTATAAAGCAAAAAAAGATTTTCAAAGACTTAACTCTGGTTTGGTTTGTAAAAGATAATGAGAAAGACCTGAAAACTGAAGAATGTAGGTTAGATGCTTTTAGACATATTTTCTAAGAGTAGACTCTGAAATAGAGGGCTGAATAAAGTTACGTAATTCCTGACAGCAAAAGATTGGACTAAAATAAATCAAATGTCCCAGATTTGTCATCCAGTGCTTCAAGAGTCCCCATTTAGAGTGAAAAATCCTTGTTTTGAGCTTTACGTCACACACAGACACTTCCCACTCTCTCTGTCCCACCCATGTCTTCTACCATCTCTTTTTCAAAGCCTGGATGTGCCTGTGTGCATGACTTTTCGACAATAGTATTTCATTTTAGGCTTTCCACTGGTCTAGGGCAGTGCTTCCCAGACTACCTGAGGGGATGAACATTTTTCTTTTCCAATCTATTGTGGATTGATACTTTTATCAAATTCAATAAAAACGAATTACTAAATAATTAAATCCAGAAGACATAAACTGCAATCCCGCTGACCAGATGTTGTGATATCTTATTGCTATAGCAGCTTTGAAGAGCTTCATCTCAGTTTCTGTACTCATCTTGGTGATAAGAATTTCCCTAAACCAGTGCCATGCCAGGGACCACACTTTGAATAGCAGTGCTCTAGGTAGCTGCTGGGTTGGACAGGCAGCAGGATTAAGCCAGAAGCTCCGAGATTCCTTCTGTCAAAATCAAACCCAATTCAAATTAAGAACAAAAGACTATCAGAACAGCCCACTGGGTAGTTCGGCACATTACATGCACCCATCTGCCCAGCTTGCAGGTTATAGAGTTGTGCTATGTTGGTGGGGAGACCTTCAGAAAGTTATTCTCAAGCCTCGTTTGTAATAGACATCATTCACTTATGATGAGGAAATTTATTCCCCATCAACAGGATTTATTACTCCAATTAAATAATGAAGGACCTGTTCAACACATTTCACCTAACTCTGTATAATGAAAGGATAATGTTTAAATCAGATTGTTTTTTTTCTTTTTGAAATATACATACAACTCCTTCCCACTTTTAGGTGGGATGAGACGTGAGCCCCCCTTTCAAAAGTATGCGAAAGAGGGGAAGGAGAAAGAGGAATGGTGGAGCTTGTATTTTTTTTTCTCGATCATAATATTAGGTAACTAAATGCTAATTCTAATATATTGCTTCCACCGCTTACAATTTCTGAGTCTGGGGGAGGGGGAATGTTGCTGGTAGAATACTACGAAAATAACAGTTTTACTGAACTATCATTCATAATAGGTACTGTGTGCTTTATATGCACTGTGTCATGTAGTCTTCAACACTGCTGTTGTTATTCTCATTTTAAATATGGAGGCTGTGAGGCCTGAGGAGGACAAACAAATCACTCAGGTAGTATCCAGCGGCTGAGCTGATTCCAAAACCCACACTCTGCTCTGCCTGCCTACAGGACAGGGGGTCTCTTTATTTTTAGGCTCATGTTAAACCATTAACTCTGAGAAACAGAAAAGCAGCTGCTAAGGGAGCTAGGAACTGGCCTGGCCCCTCAGCTGGGCCTTCGTGGTTTGAGCAGTCGGAGGGCACTCAGCGTGGCCTTGGTGTTCTCCTGCTGAACAAAACCCAGCACATCAATACCAGACAAGGTCACTCTGTGACAACAATGAGATGGGACGCCCCCAAAAAATCAAGACTATTTTATAATCTTGTCTAAGCACAGATGAAAAGCAAGAATATGGTGAAAACCACAAAAATACCAAACTTCCTCTCCTGGATAATATGAATGGCAACTTTTTTTTTTTTAGCCTTACTTCATTCCTCCATCTTTCTACATAATATTTACAAAGATAGCTAATCATACAATTACCCTCACTTCCTGGCAGCTTTTAATCTAGAGCAATTTTCCATTTCCTTCTATAATAAATCATCCTTAACACCTTTGAATGAAGACACCCCCATGGTTCCCCAGGGTGAGTGTCCTTTTACAATAAGCAATAAACCCAGCTTGCTTGATTACAGGTGTGATCACTGTGGTCTTTAGGTGGGAAGCATTGGCAGCTCTAAATGGAATAACAGAAAAATGGAATAATGAATGGAAGTGCTTGCAATTGCAGCTAGTCAGAGAGAATAGGATTGTGTACCAGAAATCTCTCCCTCCCCCATCCCTCTCCCTCCACTCACTCCCTCTCCCTTCTTTTCTATTCTCTCTCCTCCTCCTCCTCTTCTCCTCATCCTTCTCCCTCTCCCTTTCCTTCTCTCTCTCCCTCTTCCTCTCCCACTCACTCTCATGCTCTTTTTCTCACACTCTCAGGCCCAAACCATGAGAACACACCAAATACAGCAGGAGGAGGAAGGTTTATATCCGCTCCTCCTCATATATAACCTTCTGGTAGCACTCCTACATTGCTACAGAAATATTGTAAGAGCTTAGCCACCATGACTCTCTCATAAGACTAGAATAGGCAGCCATGGAGTGAGATATACAAAGAAAAAGTATAGCATGGGTTCTTTGCAATGATGCAAAAGGCAATTATACTATATATAGGCCACTATCCAAGGGACAGCTGAAGTGTTTTGCCTGTTTCCAAATACCTTTCAGTGCCAGAGATTTCTTTTTCCCACTAACCAGGATCAAAGATCCAAACCACTGGATACCAGTAGCTCTTGCCAAGATGAAAGAAAATATGGAGGTCATTGGTACCACTCACTTTAGGGCAAAGTGGGAGTTTAAGGGAGTGACAGGGTTACAACCTAAGAGGGTAGGAATATTCCAACAGTGAAAGAAGGGGGAATATAAAAAGGCTTCTCCTGGGTGAGGCAAATCAAGATGGCTGCTCCACTGCCAGGGCCAGAAGAACCACGAATACCTAGTAAATGAAAAATGCAGAAACATCTCATATTCTGCAAGCTCACAGCTGCCAGGTCCTGCCCGTGGGAGCAAAGTGCTTGTTCATAGCCCTGATTTTCACCTTCAGGCAAAAAGCAGCAGCAGAAATGCGAAAATCATAGCAGAAATCTCAAATTTGACAATGAAGAATTTGTTTTCAATAGAAAAACATCACCATACAACATAACAACATGTAACAATATATGTGTTGTTTATTGGGTTTTTGATGCTATCTGAATGATTTTTGCTTTGACATCTATAAAAGCGATAAGGACTGAATGTATTTTGTGTCATAAGGGATTTTTGTAATACTGCTAATATTTTTTTTACTTGGATTAATATAATATCTTTAATATTTCAAAAACGATACAGGCTGACATATTTTCCAAAGAATTACAATTTGCAAAACTGTATTATCACATTAAAATTGCAGCCTGATAATTCAAACATTTGTACAATTCAGTTTTTCCTCAACACAATTTAATTTTTATTCCATTGTAAAACATTAAAATTTTGAGTTTTTAAAACATAAAATTAGTAATTTATAATAGTTAATAAAAATTAAGGCATCCTTTTATACCGGAAAGATTTAGTAAAATACGGCACTAATCTACCAATAAGTAATTGATGCTCTTTAAAGAGTCATTATAATACATGCTGACAACTGATTTAATCATTAAACATTGTACAGGTGAAACATAGGATGGTAAGTCTTTCCCTAAGAGAACAAACTGGCCACCCATTCAACTACCATTTAAACAGCCTACTACAAATGCAAAATATACTTGCCTCACGGAAACTAGCAAAAATTAATATTTTGAAAGAAACTAGAAAACATGAGTGTAGGGAAATGATGAAGTAAAAGGCCTAACTGTATTACCTGAAGTGTAACAATTTTTTATATTCATAATCATACTTAGTCTAGGCTCATTATTAGGTATGAAAACAATCACAGTAAGTCATATGATGTCATAATAGATTACGTTGTATATGGATTTAAACATTAATTTAGAGATTTTTATATCATTCAGTATATTCTATATAGATGTACACCTAGTAATTTATTAAATATACATGCTCGTAAAGTGTTTAGAAATGAACTAGCTTCATTGTTCTGAAACAGTTTCTTTAAAATGTTGAGAATTAGGCTATGAATATAACCACTTCTGGGGATGTCAAATAAATCACAATAAACTACACATTAATGGCAGGCTTACATTTTTAGGCCCTCATTTTAGGGAACCTAATAATTATTAATACAACACTGATTTATTTCCTCTGTCAAGCCTGCAAATCTACCCCATTACATTAAAAAGTCACAGCATAGTACCTCTTAAAAATTATAATTAACACTGAATGTTCAGCTCCCACATTTAAGCAGTCGTACAACAAAAAAGATATATAAAGGCTACACATTTGTGTATCCATTTGTATAATTGTTGTTTTTCTTATATTTAGTTTTCAACTGTATTTTAACTTTTTTTCCTCTCCCAGTCATAGCCTATTAATTTTGGTCACAGTTAATATAGAAGAGTAGTAGAATGGCATCTTCAAATTGTTTTTAAAGATCATTTATTAAATTGATATAGCAATTTACCCCAATGTAACCTCCAGTTGCTTGGCTTGGATGTTATTCCGTATCTATGAAAATGTGATGGAGATCCCTTGTCAAAAATTATATAATTTTAATGAAGAGACAAAAATACCCTTCACCCAAAGCACTGACCTAAATTAGACATTAATTTTCCAGACACTCATCTAGTCTTCTTAATTATATTACTTTGAATCATTAAAATGATACTATACTGCCTAGAAGTGACGAGAACTCCATTTGGTGCCCCAAAGAGGAACTTTGCATGAATCATTTTACTCTCCCCAAATATATCCAACTCTGTACAGAATACATCAGTAAGTAAAGTTACTTTGACTAAGTATTTAGGTTTTACAACATTAATGTAGAGAAAGAGACAGAGATACAAGAAAGCCCTCTCTCTTTCTCTCACAGACCAGGTAAAACTAATAGCTATTGATATATTAGACAATGCCTAGTTTTCCACTGAAGACACCCAGTAAACTTTTCGACCCACTTCAGTCTTTTACATTCCCCCCCCCCCAAAAAAAACACATTTTCTCAGCATACGTTGATTTATCTGAAGTGAGCAAGAAGGTCATAGAAGGAAATTTCTATTTCCCCATAAATATCATTTTGGTTAATAAGAACTGCTAGTGTTGCGGCCATATTTGAAAGGAAATTAGAATCAAGCTCCTCTAAGGAAGACTACTGATAATCTTATTAACGCAGATATTCACTTATCAAACAAATATTAATATTATGGTTATACATAAAATTTTATGGAGAAGGACAGAGGGATAATCAAATCTTTCCAACACATATGCTTTGCCTACAGGAATACACGTATTACCTGCTGTGATGTCACTGGGTAGTTTTCCCGACTGGTGGAGACTCAGCTTCAGTTTTCCATCATTAAGAAAGAGCAGGAGACCCCCGGAAACCAGTTGAAGTTCAGTGAATAGCAGAAGCCCTGCCTTATTCCAGGTTCGAAATTGAAAAGCAGCAGAAATCTCGTCCTCCCCGGGAGATCCTGGCAGTGCTAAGTAACTCCTGGGGCTGAGAAAAGTCACAGGCACAGACTGTGGTTGTGAACAAGAAAATGACACATTGCCCTGAGAATAAAGTAAAAGAAAAAGCTTTAGGAATGAATCGCATCACATGAGTAACAAATTGAAATAGTCACAAAGGCTATTTATCAATCTCAAATTATCCTTGATTTAAAACAACAAATTGCTTTCAACATGAAAATTCAAATTCTTGCCATACATCTTAAAGGTTCTTCAAATCCAGTGATATTATGGTCAGGCAAATCTTTCCCTGGTTTTTCTTTTTTATTAGTTTCAGGTATACAAAACAACACAGTGACTAGACATTTATATACCTCACAAAGTGATAACCCCAATAAGTCTATTACCCATCTGATACTGTAATATTATTGACAACATTCCCTATGCAGTACTATATATATATATATATATATATATATATATATATATATATCCCCATGATTTTTTAAATTATAAAGTTCAGTATTATTTTATATTAGTTTCAGGTATACAGCGTAGTGGTTAGATACTTATATAATTTATGAAGTGATCTCCCCAGTAAGTCTAGTACCCATCTGACACTATATATAGTTTTTACAATATTATTGACTATATTCTCCATACTGTATTTACATCCCTGTGACTCTTTTGTAACGACCAATTTGTACTTCTTAATCCCTTCGCCTTTCTCACCCAGCCCCGCAAACCCCCTTCCATCTGGTACCCATCAGTTTGTTCTCTCTATCTATGTCCCTGAGTTTTTCTAGGTGAAGTCTTTTTCTCTCCATCACTCAACTTTCACAAAGGTATCTAACTCAATGTAGCTAAATTCAATAAAAATTTGAGCCAACTCTTTGTTTTCATCTTTCACTTGGCTTTCCCTGCCCACTCATTTCACCCCTTTGCTGCCTTCGGCTTCTAATCCACCTCATAATGTAATAAATATTAATGAGCTGCTGTTTTTTCCTTCCCTATTTTTTCATATTTTTCTCTGTTCCCATTGACTTAAATATCCATTATATATATATAGTTTTAGTTATATGTTCAGTTATATGTACATATACACACTTAAATATATGTCTAAGAATACATATACCTACACACTGGGCATTATTTGTTTATAAAAATAGGAGTCATGTTTTATGCCGTTTACTATATCATGATTTTTATCACTAAAATATACCTATGAGAACCCTTTTGAGTTACCTGACATGAGCCTAATTCCTTCTTTTTATTGCTTGAATACTATTTTAGTATGTGAATGTTCCAGTTTTTACTTAATTGCTTTCCTGTTAATGTGCAAGCACTTTGTCTCCAGGTTTTGCCTCTCCCAATGATGCTCGTCATAAATAACTCTGCACGCTTCTGTGTGTACTTGTATTTTCAGTTCTACAGAAGAGGGCTCTGAATACAGAACTACATGTTATAATAAATATTTCTAGCTTCCCCTCCAAAAATAAAAAGTTACGATACTCCATATTCCTACTAGTAAAATATGAGGATATATTGCCATATCCTTGCCAAGAATAGGTACCATAGACCTTTTAAATTTGTACAAATTCAGTGACAAAATGCCAAAGTAATATATCATTCTTATTTATCTTTCTTTAACCTGACTAACAATGGTGTGTAATCATTTTTCGTGAGTTTGCTGCTCCTTTGGACTTGCTTTCCTCATACTGGTCTGCATAGCCTCTGCCTATTTTTGACTTTTCCTTGTTTTCTTCAGGTTTTATATTGGATACTACAATGTACAATGTACTACTTACATTCCCTTTTTAAAAAACTATTTTTGTCTTTTTCTTACCATGATGCCTTTGTCATCAGATTTACATGTATTACTTCTCATCTAATGGTTTTAAAATAGATCTTCAAGATACATTAGATTGCATAAATTTTCATTAAAATTCTGTATCTGAAAAATTATTTTGTTATTAGAGTAAAACATATATTTAAGGATTTTTATAAAAAAAGAAACTTAAGGTCTGAATTATTTAGAAATAATGAAACATGTTCCTTAACATGCTTCAGAAATGAAATGTTTACATTTTTCCTGACAATAATCTTTGATAAATTTTCCAAATACAGGTTTGAAAAGTCAATGAAATCAACTTTACTTAGAAGAATGCACATTGGAATTAAACCATTTAGTCTTAGCTAAACAAAAGTTCCTGGTTATATTGTCATTCTGTTAAAAGTGAATTAGCTTTCATTGTAGACAAATACCTTGTCCCAGTGAATGAAATAACAACAAGCTGAAGGGTTAACTACACTGACCCAAAATGTAAAAACAATTATAAGACTAACAAACCTAGCAAAAATGGAAACGTTTACCAGATGCAGTTTGGTCTCATGCATCATTTGGACGGTTGCCTGCTGCCCTGCATGCAGTAAATCCTCTTGCCAGTCAAAAGTGAGTGTTACTTGCACGAGCGGTTTCTAGAAACTCGTTTTGCCGATTAAACATACACATCTACCCATATTTTTTATTTTTCTCTGAAATCATTTTCCCGTTTATAATTTTTTTTTAAATTTCACTGAATGGTATATTCATATAAACACCATCAATTCACACAGAAGAATTAGGAATAAAATATTTCATAAACAATACATATTCCCATGATGTCCTTTGGGATTTGCAGATAACAACGTGAGCTTAAGTTTACATATTGAATTTTGAACAATTAAAGAAATATGTCCAAATGGATATATGTGTGTGCTTTTCTATCGTCAAGCTTGTTAAACTGAAAACCATGTTTCCCAGAATCCCTTCTTGTCTGGTTCTGGTTCAAAGTTAGCCAAAATAGGGAGCTTGCATGATATTCGGGTTAGAAATGAAACACTGGCCATTTTCCACAAAGGTTATGTGTGTGTGTGTGTGTGTGTTGGGAGGGGTGGAGGGGGCACATGCGCAGTGAAGCATGGCCGCAGAGAAGCTGGTTCCAGCTTGCCCCGGCTCTCCTTCATGTTGCTCCATCTCTTCTTCTCGACAGCTGGCCTCCACTGTCCAGCTCCTCTGACAATTGTTAAGCGCCAGGTCCTAAAATAGATCCCTTGTTCATAGAACTCATAGCGGTGCTGCTTCCCTGACTGGACCCTGACCAACACACTTATCTTTAAATTCTGCCCCATTTCCATAGAATTAGAATATAACGCAGCCTGACCAACACTGCTATTGGGACAGATTGGCAGATGCAAATGTTGTTAACAGCCTATTAGTTTATTTTATTTGTAATAAATGACCATGGCAAAATACAAGTTTTTCAAATGCCTCTCTAATAGACATGGATGTTATCTGACTCCAGGAACTCAGTATGCTTGTTGAGCGAGTTTGCCAGGGAATATCTTATTAAGGAAATTACAGGGCAAAGGAAATTAGTCTCCTGGGAATAATAATATCACAACGAAATTAAATTATCAACTGTAAAAAAAAACCCAACAAACCCTGCTTTACGTTATATAAAATAAAATAATCATGCCTTGTGAATTACAATTCCTTTAGATAGAATTAATCCTTTATATGCATACTGTCAAGCAGAGAAAAGTTTTAAAAGAATAAGAGTAAATTTTAAAACATCATTGCCAAAATGGAGCAACTATAACATGTGGAAAAGTGCTTAGTTTTTACTCCTTTCTTCACATGAAGACTTTCTTACCATTGTGATGATCTGTGGGTTTTGTTGCTTGGCTAAATCAATGATATCCACTCCATTATAATAGAGATTTTCTAAACACCCATGAAAATTTTTATGGAGGAATGACACTGATTTTCCAGGTGCTGGAATCCCTCCAAAGCTGATCTTAGAAAGAAAAATGGCATCAATAATATTGTTTAGTGATTTTCTGATAATCTGCTTAAAGAATTATGATTAGCAACTATAGCTGTAATCATCACATAGATCAATTTTTCATCACCCTACACTGCCATATCGCTCATTTCAAATGGATATTTTTAAAAATTAAGATACAGGTTTTAAACAAATTTATATACATTCGGTTTTCATTTATATTAGACTTTGATTATTCTTACAAGTTGCTAATAACCCCTGGATTTGATATTTATTGGTTGATGAACAAAAACACATCATTCTATCCACGGTAAATCTTGATCTGTTCAATAATGTAACCAATTACAATGACATTTTATTTTATATACATTTCTGGCATACATTGATATCTGTGCATTTGAATTGATTATTAATGAATTAATTAATCTATTCATTGCTACATCCTCTCCATAAATCCACACTGTTCAGTGGTGTCCTATAGCACAAAAAAAATCATGCAACACAATTGATATTTACTTGTGGTAATGAGATCTCTCCTTGGAGATTTCCCACATGTGACATCCTGTGACTATACATCTCAGGTAAAAAAAGATGATCTCTCTCTTCACAATAAAAATACTAACATATTGTGAGACATAGAAGCCTCAGTAGTGTATGTCCAAATCTGCTACTGTGAGGTATGTCACCTAGGGAAAGCACTTCACCAGGTCTTGGATTTACTCTAACAGTGGGGTTCTTTCTAGTGTATTGTCTTTTGCTAGGCTAAACCACATCCACATCATAACACGTATATTGACTGAAACGTAGCCATCACACCTCATAGTCAAGATCCAGGTAAGTGAATTCTCCTTGGGCGTGGAAACGCTGCCGATGCTCATCCACTGTGAAGTTGACTTGTTTGCCCAACCGCTGGATGAGCACCGAGTGCCAATGCTGATCGTCCAGCAAGCTGCCCAGGGTGAGATTAATCAGGGTGTGAGTAGAGGGCAGTTTAGTGTCACCTTAGAAGAGAAAATCAATCAATCAATCAATCACAGTACCATTATTCCCATCTTAAAAAAAAAAGTTTCCTTTTTGTGGGCCAGCATCTTTCATAATAATTACAATCTTTTTCCATGCAACCCATCCAAAACACCAGTATGGATTTTCCTGAAGCTGGAATATAATACCCTCTCAACCTTGCTATAATTTCTTCCACTGTTAATTCTTTTTATTAGTATTACCAATCACGTGCTCATTTTCAATATAAATTTTATCTTTGATACAACCCCATTATTTTTACTACCTTAATATTTTTCAATGACCCATTCCTTTCTTCAAGACATTAAGAAATATTGAGTGGTTGGAAAAGTCATGACGTATTTTTTCTGTTTTTCATTGCAAAAACGCATCATGACTTTTCCAACAACCCAATAACTATGCAGGTCTATTGGCACTACATAAGACATTGATTGAGTGAGGGTCATACAATTTGTAAAATATGAATCATTTTTATGTGAAAATACAATATTGGTGTAGATGTCCTTGCATCTGGAAATAAGGCACCTTAATTGTTACAAGACAAGCTATAAAAGCATAAAGTGACTGAAGTGATATCTAAAGGACCAGATTTTTCAAGCACTTCACCAAACAGTTTTACCTGAGTTAATAAGCAAAAAGAGTTTTCCTCTTCTTAATTCCAGTGTGATGTGATCTCCATTTTGCCCTTCCCTGTGGAGTAGAATCCCATCACTCTCCACGGTTTTAAATTGCAAAGAAACAGTATCCTTTATCGGGCTCAGGGATTTTTTATCAAATCTGTAGAGAAGGGAGCTTTTTCCATCAAGATCAAGCACCTCTGATTCTAGAGACAAAGAAATTACGAGTTATTCTAAGGATAGAAATGCTTTTCATTAAGCATTTGAAATGTCTATGCATCAAGAAGGCATCATATTAATACCTACATGCATACACGTCTAGTCCAGCTCCAAGCGAGTCACAATAAGGGGAAATAAAGTCAGCACATGTCTAATTCCCTCTTGATACCTGGGATTGATGCCATTTTAGTCTTTACTAACCTATTTACAAAATTCATGATCTAGAAATACATTTTAAAATGTATTCCTAGGGGCTGGCTGAGTGGCACATTGGTTAAGAGCTGGCTTGGGACACGAGAGGGCCCCAGTTCGGATCCCACATATGAGGGCCAGTGACACTGCCCTCTACAGCTAAGATGCTGAACAACAGTTCAACATGTAGCTGGGCTGCCGTGAGTCACCAGCGATGGCATAGGCTGCAGCCCATGCTGCAGTGGGTTGCCATGGGCTACCGTGTGTAGCCAGCAGCCAGCGTGAGCAGCCTGCAGCCGCAGTGAGCGGCCATCCAGAAGCCAGTGACTGATCTGCCTCACCCGGGAAGAGCACAATGATGGTGCCAACTTGGGCCAGTGAAGCAACGTCCTCCACAACTAGACTGAAGAACAAAAAAGGACAGCAACTTGTCTGTTCCCCTTCCCCCAATTCCCCAATAAAAATCTTTAAAAAAATTTAAAAATAAAAAATAAAAAACATAAAATGTATTCCTAATTTTCTCTTATATTGGTAAAGTTTGTTCTTTTCTCATTCCATAAAAAAATAAAATCAGAAAAAGGTTATAATTAATGCCCATAAAACCACTTTGCATATTCCATGGTCAGTGTTTTCCACAGTGTTCTTGACATGTTGAAGTTATTTTTTTAACTCCTAAAAAAGTGGTTTTTGATGTCTCAAAATCCTCTCATACATGCAGTATATAAAGGAGATCCAATGGCTCAGTTGGTTAAGAGCTCGCTCAAGAGTTTGAGCTCTGAGCAACAGCGGTTCGAGGCCAGCCCGAGCTGAGCAGCCGCTAAGCTGCCAATAGGTAGCAGGATGGCTCAGCTAAAAATAAATAAATAAATAAATAAATAAAAAATAAAGGAGATCCACATACAACCACACACACATACATCAGACTCATCAAATGTCACTTCAAATAATATTAAACTAACCTTTGTGTTTTGTTTGATTTGATTATTTTTGTGGCTAAGTAATAGTATTTAAGAGCAATGCTATTGTCTGTCTCTTCAAGGGCATCGTTAAAAAGACATTCACTTAATGATATTACAAGGGCTGTTCTGTAGCATTTGTGTCATAACTGTGACATTGACATGTTTTTTCAGCTTCCTGACAGTGTCTTATCTACTCATTGTCAAGATCACTTTTATTCATTTCATCTAAAAAAGATGTCATGTTATACCAGTAACATAAGAGTTCATCTGTCAAAATCAGTTGCACCCTTAACAAGAGACACACAAAGAAACTGATAATACTCAGAAAATCTAGCAGTGTTTTCTACATTTCACAAGTCAAAGATTTTTTTTTAAAGGCAATTATCCTCAAAAATGCATTTATGTAATAAATGAAGAGGTTGGGGAAACCCAATAAAATATGAAGCAATTTTTCAACTGGCTAGCTGACTTCTCGCCAGGAAATGGCATCTTGTTTCATTTGACAAAATTATTACAGTGACTTGTACACCCCAATATACATTTCATGCAGGTTATCCATCATACTTAATGTGAATCACTGTATTCACCACACCCCAAATTTTTTTCAAGCATTTTATACAGCTATCTTTTGAAATTTCAGAGGTTTAATGTTTCCACATGTTGTTAATGCACTTATAAAGAATGTGTTCACCAAGTACACATGAATAAACATTGCATTCTGTAGAAAGCATCATGTGAACCAAACAATTATTCCTTGTTATATAGCTAAATAAATGTGCATGGTAAAAACATAACTCTGTGTCAAATACAAATAATGTGCTCTATGATTATTAGATTACAATAAATTAAGAAACTCCAATAAGACAGACTTTAAATGTGGACACATTTGGAGCAACGCAGTTATCTCTGAGTTAATGTATTGCTTAAAGACAACCGTCATAATCATGATTTTATTTTAGATAAAGTCTATTTTTGGAGTTAGCTACCAAGAGAATTTTTTTTTCCAAGAAAAGTTTAGTCTGTGTTACTTCTGCCTACCATTCCTTTTTTCATCTTCTTCACTATTGTCATTATTACACTCTAATGGTCATATTAACCTTTCATGGTACCTAACGCTTTTGTGACTGGAATATTTCCATCAGTAAAACGGGGTCGTGAAAACCCTATCAAATAATTGATGCCGAAAGCCACGATATATTGTTTCATGTCTTAAACTGAAGCCACTCACCATTTTCCCTCACTCTTGCCTATTTTCTTCTTACTTCACAGATAAAACACTAAGTAATTCGGTGCATTCATTCAACAAATATTTATTTAGTCCATCATGTTTGAGGTACTGTGATGCATGCTGAGATTAAAAAAGTGACCAACACAAACATGGCCCCTACCCTTATGGTGTCTACATTCAGTGAGGTGGACAATAATTAACAAGAGAACAAATAAGTTCATGACAGACTATAATAGGGGTTATGATCAAGGTTAAAAGAAGGCTGAGGTCACCTTAGTTAAGGTAGTTGAAGAAACTCAGTTCTCAGGCCTAGAAACCTGGCACTGAAGCAGATCTAATCAATAATCTTCCTATTCTCCGCGTCTCTGAGTGCAATATTTGTCCCCATAAACTAGAGTTTCTCTTGGAACATTTAATTTCAAGAGGCCTAGACATTCTCCCAATACAGTCTCTCCTTCACTGTTGAAAAAGGAAGCTCTGAGGGTCCCTGAGAAACTACAGGGACAGTCAGTAATTTAGCTCAGAGGAAGAAGCAGGAGTTGGGGGGCTGGCCTTGAAAAAAGGGCCTGAAAACAAGAAAGTAGTGAAGTTGAAGAATCAACAAACTGGCTACACTCACATCACAGAGTCACGTGCATGTGAATAACACTCTTCCGGGGGAAAGAAGCGTAATTCAGAACGTATTACGTCAGCACAGCAAGGCTTCAAGCTACATATATGTAACCTGTATGTGACACATGCCAGGGGTGACAAAAAAATGTGCACATTTTAAGAGATGTTATCTATGTATTACTTTTCAAAGTTGAATTGAATTACGGTAGCAATTCCATGTAGTATGGCATTCACTCAAAAGATGGTGTTAATAAAATTGTATTACAATTTTAATACAGTTTTTTCCTTTCTTAAAATGTGTATATATATATATATTTTTTGGCACCCTCTGTACGTACGGAGTCTCAGGAAAATAATCAGATGATTCCTAACAGTATTACTTTAGATAGAAAACTCATAATAGCTCTAATATAAATCACTGTTATCGAAAGCTATTTATACAACATATCTGATATGTAAAAAGTATTCACTTTTAAACAATAATCATAAAACACTGAGTTATGATGCATAAAGTTAATGATATAAAAATCAGAAAATCTGAAAAAGCTAATCTTGGGAGAGAGAGATAGCGTTTGAATCCAATGTGTCATCGTCAGTACTAGCACTGCAAAGATGCTGGTGGGAGAGACAGGCATAGAATCTCTCTTAGAGTGAATGGTACTCCTGTTAAAAATTGGAAAAACTGAAAATAAATCAAAGACATAACTTCACATCCCTTCAATGTCATACTGGAGCATTTTCTAACAGGTCCAGCTAAAGATTATTTAATTCTAGGTGAATTAATAAAAGTCTGATTTTATTATTTATTACTGATTAGGGCCAGACTCTGTCAAGTTCCATGTTAATTTATAGTTTGTTTTTCCCAGTAGAGATGCAAATGACTTCCGTCTGGTAGAAAATACATCCCCAAAGGTTATGGTTTTTTATTGTCCTGTTGGGATTAACCATTCATGTACTTAACCTAGTAGTAATAGTAATCTAACGTTCTTTCTTGGATTCCTATATGCACTCAAGTCTCTTGAATTTTCTTTGAACTAGCTTTACCATCCTTCTGGCTCCTTCATTAATGAATCAAATGCATCTTTAATATGTGTTTATTCTATATTTGAATGAGAGTCATTTTTTTATGTCTTTGACAATTTTACTTCTAATGCTACTAACTTAAAAATCACACTTGGACTTTAGATCATTGACTGGGAAAGGAACATTTCAAGTCTTTGCCATCACCGATAATGTTCAGGGTGAATTTATTTTCACTATTTTACAAAAGTTTCAGATTTTGAACTCTTAATAGAGCACTACCAATACAAACACATTCTCACAAAAGTTCAGTTGACTTATAACAATATTCCTTTACATTGAATCTAATTTATAAGAGATGAGTATATGCCATTAATACTCTTAATCCAACTCAATAATTATTTTAGATAAAAACACTAAATTAAGCATCCAAAATAATATTAATATTTAAATGAATAGTCAATGATACATTTATTCCTATCTTTTATCAAACAGTTTTAGGACAAGAATCTTTTGTACACAGTGGAACTATATAAATAGGAAAAGTAGAAGTATCAGAAAACTCATTATAGGAAAATTGGAAATCAGGAGTTAACAAAATTTCCAATAGTAAAAGACATATAGTCCAAAGATGTAGAAGGAGATGTGTTACTTGATTGAAAAAAATAATTATTTTCAATATAAAGTAATAATTATTTACTAATTGTAAATTTGTTAATTAGTATGCTTATTAACTGAGATAATATTTTAAATGATTGGATTTTTACCAATATTAATAACATGGCCCTGCCATACCCTGGCACACCATGGGGAGAGCACGGACTCTACTTCTCCAGTAACAAGTTGCACATTATTCTGACACAGTCACCTTCTTTAGTATAGTCCCCTTTGGAGCCATTTTCAATAATATATACAGTATTATAGTTGAGCCTACTAGTTAAGACAACTAGTCTATGTGGGTTTGCATCTTCACTCT